TTGTTTTAAAATCAGTGATACATTTCTGTTGTTCAATGTTATCATATTATTGAAGAGGAGATTGGTTGAGGTAATAAGTCAAAAAAAATTAAAAATAAATAAGTATTTTTATTTTTACTATATTATTTTTTTACCGTTTTAGCGAATATTTTTAATAAATTCTTTTAGATGTTGATAAAGATAAGTCAGAACTATAGAAAATTTCCATTCGCGTTTTACGTTTCAGATATCAAGGATCAAATTTGGTTGGGTTTCTGTCTATAGTCAAATCTATGTAACGAGCATATTATCACCTACCGTTTATCCGATTTTCATGAAATTTTTAGGTATTGTGCGGGTTGGTGTCTAGATGGTTCCGTGTTAATTTCATCAAATTACATCTCCAGCGCTTACGCACGCGCACGCATATTTTTTTAGATATTCCAATATTTCTGAAACGGCTCGTTCAATTTGGCTCAAAGCTGGATGAAAGATAGGCATTGGTGAAAAAATAATGTGTCAATTTTATTGAATTTTGTCCGCTACTTCCTCTTATATATACGTGTTTTTATTGGTACGTCTATATCTCTAAAACCGCATGTTAGATTTGGCTCTAATTTGGTTAAAGTTTGGAAAACAGATAATCAAGTTTGTATGAATTTTATCAATTTCTATCCGCTACAAAAATAAAATAAAATAAAATAAAGAAAATAAAAAATCCGCTTTTAGATCAGAGAATGTATTTTTTGATAAGCCTGTAGTTTGAAAAATGTTCGGTTTGACCAAAAATTACCTAGTATTAATTTCATTGATTTCCATTTAATAATTAAAATTAATATAAATAATGTTAATAATATAATGGCTGTGAAATGTGGAAGGCATTGCTCATATGGAGCAGGAGTTGGTTAAGAAAATATTTTTATAGACACTCCCATTTTGTTTGTCCATCGCCTCCCTCAATCAAAATGAAACTCAATCAAAATAAACCTTTGAATTTAAGGAACTGGTTGGAAGTAACATCAATAATAAACAACAAGGTGACTCTCTTTCTGCCACTCTGTTCAACCCAGCCCTACGTAAAGTAGGGAGCAATTGAAACGACAATGTCATACATTCGTGAAAAGTAGATATGTTTATGCATATGACATCCGTCTAGTAGCCCTACATGGGATCATAATTGAATCAGGAAAATGAAATAGTAAACGATGTAAACTACAGAGTTATGGTAGCTAGTAGAGCGTCCTATGGATATATAAATTTTTTCAGATCGTCACACAATCTGTGTGTGTTACATAAAACTCTTGTTAGTCCAGTTCATTCTTAAGGTAACGAAACTTGGACTCTCACCGCCTTGATGAACAATAGCTTGAGAATTTTCGAACGAAAAATAATAACAAAGATGGACCGTTGTTCGACAATGAGTTCAATACATCATCAAGTAACCTTTTAGAAAATTACATTAGTGAATAATTTGATGAATTTTCTCTTCGTGAAATCCCAACACTATCCACTTACAATTAGTGTGACAACTTTTGACCTATCCATGGCAGGCAATTAAAATCTCGTCATTTCATTTTGATAAACTTTACAAAATAAAAATCATTCATCAACAATACAAACATATAAACACATTAATTTTAAATATTCAATATTATATTTGTTTGTTTCACAATGGATGTTTAAATAATTACCTCCCCCCCATTTTTTTTTTTGTCTATCGCCCCCATTTTCAACTATTGTCTTACATTTTTGGAGTTGTACTATGGTATGCTACATTTTTTTTGCATAGATTCTATACTTCAACGTTCTTATTTTTCTTTTTCGTAACGTCTTCTGATTTCTTTTCAGATTCTTCAATGAGATCTAGGCACTTTGAAACATCCTCCGATTTTTTTCCTATTTCAGTAGCATCTGTGGTCGCGATTAGGTTTAGTCTATTAATTATGAATTTCCCCACCGAAACTAGAAGTTGATATCGAAAAATTTTTTTTCTCGATCACTGTAAGTTTTTCCTCTCAACCCCGTAATTCAGAAGCGGCAGGAAATTCTACGTAAGGATCGACATATTTTCCCGCAGCCTCTAATTTCAAAATAGTTCCTAAGTTTTTCCTCATTGTATTTATTCCGATAATTCCACGAATCTCTAATTCATACTCCAGCTCTTCATTTATTAACCTGTCGACTTTCATTTTAATCCCATTAAGATTTTTCTTTAAAAAAGTTAATATTTTAAAAACATGTCTTAAATTTAAAAAATAAATTAAAGTTTCCTTTTATATCCACTTTATTTACTCCAGTCCCTGTTCAGGGACGCCATTTTGTTAGTTGTTAATATTTAATTGACTCTTGATTATTTTTCTTTATTTTTTTCCGAACCCAACCGTCTCCACTGAGCGTCCGGCAAGTTTGTTGCGGAAAGTACCTAGGAAATATTTTTTCCAAGTTAAAGACCGTAACAGTTTTAATAATTTTATTTCACTTTTTTTTTCTTAATTGATTAAAGTTAGAAGGTAACTTATACTTTGTTTTATTATGTCTATAGACAAATAGATTTGTATATTTTATGATCATTCTTATATATCTCTGAGGCTCTTAAGCCCACATTTCTGTCTTTATATATTATTCTAAAGGTTCTTGTCCCAGATTAAATAAAGTATTATTATTAATAGAAGGATGTGGTTGGGGGTGCGGTCAAATTAAATAATGTATATTATAATAGTATTTTATTGTTCACGCCGATCTTTCTAGGTCTTTATCAATATATAGTATTTAATTTGACCGCCCCCTCCCCTCCTCCGCACATTGAAACGAAAGCATCTTTTTGTGGATAAAACTCCGTAAAATACAAACGATATGAGATAGTTAGCAGTTGATTGATTTTTACAGCTCTGTTTGCGGTGAATCTATTGATACCTGTAATTTGTTCATGCGACTAATCCTTCATGGTAATTTAAGTAATTAAAAAAAAAATTAGTTTTTAGTGAGTCAAAAAACTTATGGTTAAATATTTGTTCGTGTATTTATATTAAGTTTTAAACGTACTCTACGAAACTATTCATATTATTCTATTAAAAAATCATTAAAAATATAAATAACATTTTGTATACGTTTTTTAAATTGTTGAAAGGGTTGGGATCATTCTGAAGTTTATTATGGAAGGATAGGTATCTGGATTGGGCCAGATCTCAAACATAAGGAACATTAAGATCTTTATGGATAATTTTATTAGTGACAAAGTAAGGAGCATTGAGGATTTTACGAAGGATTTTGGATTGTAAGGATTGGATGCGAGAGGAATTCGATGGTTTAGTGGAGCCCCATAGCTCAACTCCATAAGTCCAAATAGGTCTTATTATAGTCAAGTATATGAGTCTTTCGTAATTAATGGGAAGTTTAGAGCGTTTGTCTAGTAAGTGCTGAAGTAATCGGAAACGTCGAGCGGTTTCTTGTCGTTTCAGTCTAGTATGAGGATTCCAAGTTAGTCGTTTGTCCAGGTGGAGTCCTAGGTATCGGATTTGCTCAACAGGAATAAGTGGAATATTGTTAAAGAAAACTGTAGGACAGGAAGTCGTTGGTTTACGACGAAGGGTAAAGGTAATTTGGTGGGATTTATTGAAGTTTATGTTAATTCTCCAGTATTGACACCATTCTTCTAGATTTATGATGTGTGATTGAAGCATTTGGGATGCAATTGCTGGGTCATTGTTTACTGATAGGATACATGTGTCATGTATAAACTGTAGAGAGGATAGGACCTAGGATACTACCTTGAGGAACACCAGCGGACTGGGAAAAAAGTGATGAATAGGCGATATTGTGATTTACTTTAAAGTATCTATCACTTAGGTAGGAACGGATAATGAGGAAGTATGTAGGTGGTAGGAGTTTTCGGAGTTTGTACAGCAGTCCCGGGTGCCAAACTCTATCAAACGCCTGTTCAACGTCGAGAAAGACTCCCGTACAGTACATTCCGCGCTCCAATGCAGAGGAGACTACGTCTACCACACGATGACATTGCTGTATAGTGGAATGGGAAGTTCGGAAACCAAATTTGTGATCTGGGATTATGTGTTTAGAATTTAGGATAGGGTACAGGCGTTTTAAGATGAGTTTTTCTAGGATTTTTCCCATGATGGGTAAAAGAGAGATAGGACGGTAAGAGGATGGGTATTCTGGTGTTTTTTTGGGTTTGTGGATCATTTTAACAATAGATCGTTTCCAAGGATCAGGAAAATATTTGGAACAGTGTACAGCATTATATATGTAAGTAAGGAATAGGATGGCTTTTGCGAGGAAGAAGTTTTAGGATCTGGGATGTAATTAGGTCATGTCCAGGAGATATTTAATTTAAATGTATTTTATTAGCTTTTATAAATGAATGAGAGAGGTGCAGCAATATCATGTTTGGGATCATTATGTATCACTATCGGCTCCTACTCCAGCCCTTATTTCTGCTCGCAGATGTAAGCCGTTATATCATTTTTATTTAACGAAAATATAAATCTTTCTTTTGAACTGGGTGAAAGATTCGGCAAGTTCCTAAAATGAGAGCTGTGCTCATCTATCATATTGTTTAGTCTATATTAAAGAAGGAAATCATGCCATTGATGAGCTCATAACTGAGTTTAGATATTCGCCCAATATACACGAGTTATATACGATGGAAAAAATTAAAAATAGTTGTTTGTAAAGAAAATCAATTCATAAAATCACCTTGAAATGTAGAAATTTTAGTAACAATTACTGACGAGGAATCAGAAATCAAACTCGGTCGACCCTATTTCTTTATTATGTAAAATTTATGTGACCAATTTGCAAATAAACTGTGTTTGAACCAACAATTTCAATAAAGTACGGAAAAATGTAATATATCCCTATGCCACGGATAATGTATTACGTTATCTGCATATATCACAATGATTTAAAAATTGGAGTGAGCAATGCCTGATAAGATTTTACTCGCTTGTATTTAAGTCACGCACGTATTCCTTGTTAATCAGTTCGACGCTGATCGCCAGTCTGTTCGCTTGCTGGTGAGTTTTTGCTACTCTTACTCTTTTATCTAACTGCAGTTCTTAATACTAAAGTAGACAAAGGTGACATATTATTACAGAGTAAAATATAACTATTTTCACTTCAAATGCAACCCTTTATACTTCTGTATCAAATTTTTAACAAAGCCTGAATTTAACTAAATCATAAATATTACATTTCATTGAAGGGCTGGAAATGTAAAATGGGTATGATCTAGTGATGGGAATTCGATTCTTATGTACGATTCTTCGATTCATTCTTTTTTCTTTAAATTAATAAAGAACTTTTTATTGAAAAAAAATTAACGGTAACAAACATTCTCAAATCTTATGATTTATTCAGGCAAAAACCTTATTCTTTTTTTTTCACTTATTGAAATTAAAAGTTTCAAATTTATACAAATAAGAAGTCATGAATCTTATAAATAGAAAGAAAGTTTAAGTTGGACAGACAATTTTTTTTTTTTTAATTTTACACATTAGATTTTGAATGAATAAATCGTAAATGAAACAAAATATAATTTTATTATCCTGGGACTGATGACCCCGTACAATAAATTATAAATACAAAATAAATAAAACATGACAATATGGCCATACATTAAATTAAATATTTATATAATAATCGGTAATTAAAAATAAAGTACAAGAGAGAAAAACAAACTGTACATATATATAAATTAAACAGAGAAAAAAATAAACAAAAAAACTTAGATCTTTGCTTTAGACCACACGATGTAAGTGAAAACATCCACAAACCGAGATTAATGAAATAAAATTATAAATAATAGCTCATTACCAAAAAGATGAAATGCTGAACTTTTTCATCGCTTACAGTATACAGGCCCGTTGTATAGTTTCTGATATTTTAATCCATATTTAAAAATATTTTAACAAGTCGAATCTAGCCGACTTTACCCGAGCGTTAATACCTAACGAAATCTTACGGATCAATCTAATTCACTCTCCAAAAAAGTACAAAACGCGCCTAAAAGAAGTTTCACTTCAAAAAGTAATGTAAATAAGCGCAGATTATAAATGTCAGAATACGAAATACCGGTGAAAAAGTAGATCCCGAAAGTAAACATAACAACCCAATAAACAATAGAAAACGACTGTAAGATTTCCTTAAACAAAACCGGTGAATCGGGAATCGCCGGTCCCAACTGAATCGCTTCACCGGCTTTGTTGTTGGAAATCTTTCAGCTTTATTGCATTGTTTAGTATAATTTCCGAATCTGCTCTGCTATTGTTAGCATACCGCACTTCAGACATTTATAATCTACGCATATTTAAATAAGTATTTTGTTTATTTTTTCTCTGTTTGTTTTATTCATGTATGTGTACAGTTATTTTTTCTCTTTTGTACTTATTTTAATACTACCTATTGAATAGACCGATTCCGAGTGGATTGTGATTCTTTCATATGGATTGCTTGAGATATCGATTCCTTCAAAGGAATCGATTCTCGATTCACTTTCTTATGTTTCCCACACTGTTTAGGGCGGACACATCCCCATTAATCTATTGCACTTTAGATGCTTTTAAACCACTAAAATTTTAAAAAATTGGCCTATTTTTACGTGCTAAGTTTGAATTTAATTTCAGCTTGAGATAAATCCATAAATTATGCATATTTTGGACTTTTCTGAAAAATTTTCAGTTTTGGATGGCTTAAATTTTGGCTTTCGATGCCTCATTTATTTAAAAAGAATCATTTTAATTTTAGTAACAATTTATTTTTGTTCTTTCAATATTTTTATTGATTTATCTATTCTAGGTAAGAAAAGTATTGCAATCGCGTCATATTTCCGATATGCGGTTTTGACGGATCTATACGTTTCAGAGCCCCCTGAATCCAGTAGCGGACCCAGGATTTAATTTTGGGGGGGAGGGCTTCAGCCCGAAAGCTTTTTTTTTCATATACATAACGATAATTAATTTGAAAAAAATAAAAAGAAACTAATTACCTATATGACTAGTGTTTAAGCGATTCTTGTAGTTCTATTAAATGTAATTACACGAACAATAATACTTTAAGAGATAGTTTTTAATATGTTTTTCTATAAAGCATGGTTATATTTTACCATTTTGGAGGGAGAGGCTTCAGCCCAAAAGCTCCTCTCTCCCCTCCCCCCCGTAAATCCCCCTGTGCCTGAGTCCGAAAAACACATTTTTAGCAATTGGTCGTCTGTCTGTGCCAAGATTTACTCAGGAACTACTGAACCGATTTTGTTGCTTCTTTTTTTATTTTGTAGGATTTTGACTATTGTTGCCCGAATCACACAAGCTTCACTATTTCTTCAACTTTTAACAGAAACAGCAATGTTAGAGGGTATTGAAATTTTTACACTGATCTACCTCAAACCGGTTTAAATTGCTTTAGTTTATCGAATAAATCATAGTCAAATCTTTTCTTTGACCAATTTTCAGGAAAATAATCTAATTCAATTTGTTTTTGTTTCTTGATGGACATACCTACATTTATAAAATCTTTTGAAAAAGATAGGAAAGTCGTGTGAAAAACAAATTATAATATTAAGATAAACCAAATTAAATATGCTAATTTCAACAATTCATTAATTTTTTTATTAAAATGTATTTTTATTACAAACAATTAATTGTGGTTGTTCATTTTCAGTAATTCTTATTTGATTTTTAATATTATTCAAAATTATATTAAGCTTTTAAAAGATGACCACCCCAAAACACATATTGTTATGTCTTTAAACAAGAAAAAACGTTTTGATTTTGTAACACTTTGATGTTATTAGCATATTTATCAAGTAACATGAAGAGTAAAATAGAAAAAAAACTTTATCACTTCAACCCTTCAATTCAAGGGTTTTGGGTAGAGTACTTAGTTAGGAAGTATTTTTTCAAAGCCAATGATTGTGCAGTGAGGTAATCAACACTCAACCGCCAGATTTTCCCTCTTAATTCATTACTTAATTACGAGTAACCACTTTATAGAGGCTGGGTGTGCCCCAGGAAGGTCTCTCAACCCCAGGGGCGAGCTAAGGCTGATGAAAAATTACATGACATTGAAGGGTAAAATGGGAGTGGGGTAGCTCAGTGGTAGGGCACTGAGCTTCCAATGCAAAGGTCCCGAGTTTGAATCTCGGCTCATGCCAGAAAAATTATTTATTTGTTCCATCGGCCGTGGGGAGACCCTCCTGGGGCATACCCAGCCTCTATAAAGTGGGTACCCTTAATTAAAATAATTAATTAAGGGAAAAACCTGGTGTTTGAGCGTGATCTCGGTCTCTCGGTCTCTTTCTCTAAATAGTACTGAACCCCAGACCCTTCATGGGTTGTAGTGGTACAGGTTGTTGAAGGGTAAAATAGAAGAAAATAAAAATGCGGGATTTTTATATAAAATGAACTTTATTGCCCTGGAATATATTACGAAGGAACCATTCAGTATGAAAACGATAGATCTAATAATATAATTTTTATTTAAAAATAATATTTTAATTTGCAGCTTTTATTGACAAGAAAATTTCCATTACTTAAATGATTTATTGGAAGATTTGGAGGAAAAAGCAATACAATTTAAAAGCTATGGTATTGTTCTGGTAAAAAATTATGAAGATATCAATCTATTTTGCAGTTATTTATTTTTTAAATCAATAAGTTTACATTTATCAAAATCTTTCTTAAAGGTGCTCAAAAAATAAATCAAAACCTTATCTTAAGGTTAGATTTATAAAAATATTTTATTTCCATCAATTATTTATAAAACATTAAAAAAAAGTATTTTATTACTAAAACAAAGTTGTTAGGATTATGATGCTCAACTCTACTAGACAGTAGTGATAGATTTGACAAAAATATTAATTGAGCTGTTTATTTTGAAAGTTGCCCTAGACCATTTATACTTAAATTGAGATATTTAAGGGTTTGCGTTTCAATGTAATTAACAATATACGTATAGGGTACTAATGAATCTTAGCTCTTAAGTGTCTCTAAAGGAGTTAATAATTTTATTCTGGAACAAAGTCCCTTTAGAATATCACAAAATCATAATGAGTTATTCATGGTGAATAAAATAATTAAATGTATTTATGATAACTTTTTTTACAATTTTCAGAAACAACATACTGGAAAAATGATTTCATCTCAACAGTTTTTCAATGCAGTAACCAGAAATGGCTTTCCTAGACCGAGCCAAGCACAATACAATGGGTTTATTCGTGCAGTTGATTATGCGGGTATAAACAGCAGAAGAGAAGCTGCAATGTTTTTAGCACAATTAATCCACGAATCTGGAGGGCTACAATTTAAAGAAGAGTTGGCATATAAAAATGCCTATTCTGACCCTTACACCAGTCATCTTGACAGACCTGGGAAAAGGTATTATGGAAGAGGATATATTCAGCTTACTTGGGCTGAAAACTATCTGAAAGCTTCAAGAGCTATTTTTGGAGATGATACCTTATTAAATGATCCTGATAAGGTTGCCAGAGATGAAGACATAGCTTTCATTACAGCAGGATGGTACTGGAAAACACGAGTAGGAAATATCCGTGGAGTAAAGGAAGGAAGGTTCGGAGAATCCACAAGAGCTATTAATGGAGCAGTGGAATGTAATGGACAAAATGTTGATAAGAGCAGACAGAGATTTAGATACTACTGTACTGTATTCGATGAATTTGATTGTCCTGGATCTCCAAATGAGTGTGGATGCTATAACTGAACATGGGTGTAATACTTCTGTAATTTATCACCCTAAAATCACTACCCTATACCCTATAACTGAACAATGAAGGAATAATAAAAACAAACTGAGCAGTAAGCATATTATATCCTATATATTAACTTTATACAAACAGAACTTCTATAGCATTGCTATACAACTCTTTGCCTGGTGTACAACCTCAATCAACATTCAAAGAGTCTCTATTCTATGCTGTCACCATTCAGTTCTGAACTTATTTCATCATAAAACCCATTTTTTTCTTTCTTTTTCAATTTCTTGGGTGTTGAAAGAGTTTCTATCTTATATTTTATAATGTGTATGTATCTTATATTTTGTAATGTTTATCTATCTTATATTTTGTAATGTGTATCTATAATATTATGTAGTGTTTATCTATTTTGTAATGTGTATTCTATCATATATTTTGAATGTTGATTTTTGCAACATGACCTGCCAATATAAAATCTATGGCACCTGTGAAAAGTGTCTTTAAGTGCAATTTTTATGGTTATCACTAGAAATATAATTTTTCTCTCTTTCTTTGTGTTTAGTGGGCTAAGTTAAGCAGCTATTAGAGGTGATGATTTTTGAATTTAACTCACAATACACAGAAACGTATCACTAGAAAAAGCTAATTGCTCTCTCTTTCTTTGTGTCTAGTGGATTAAACTATGTGTCTATTACGGAGGTGATAATTTTTGCACTTAAAACTTAATGCACAGTTGTCACAGAAATGGTAATTTCTTGTTTATTGAAATAACAGTTCTTGGATTGTGGTCTGGTCTTCAACCTCCATCTTCAAAGAGGTAGAAAGTTTCTGTTTTATACATCAATCCTTAAGTTTTTAATAGGAAATCGTTCTATTCATAATTTAGAGGATGATAACACCATAGTGAAATCTATAGCACATCATGTTCTCAAGAATAGTTTATGTTTGAGTATTTTAAATGTATCTTTATTAATAAATAATATCATTAAAATTCTGATTGTTTACTGTCAATCCTTAAATTTAATTTAGTTATTGAATGCTACAATCAATACAATTAATGATCTTTTTAACAAATTCGCACTTCAAACTGTTGTTGATAGCTTAGTCTCACTTTAAGACATTTATAATATATGACTGTTCTATCTAGCATGTGTGCTGAGTTCATTAATAAATATAAAATGCAAACACAAAAGATGAAGCAAATGAAGAAATATTAGTTGAAAAAAATATTCAATTTTATTAATCAGAAGTAAAAAACAAAATATCACATATAGAAATAAGCGAATGCCCTTGGTTCAATTAATAGGCATACCAAATATTTGTAAATGCAAAAAATGTTCTAACAAAAATGCAAACATGATTTTGTATATCAATTTCATGATAGATGTACTAAAATGCTTCCACAACATAAGATATTTAAAAAAAATACACAAGCTATTTAAAAAAAATTATAAAAATAAATGGTTCTATTGATAATAGTTACTGAAATAATCTTGTATAACAGATTTTAAAAAACCAAAACAATTGCTACATTGAAATGAAAGTTATGATGAAAAAGAGAAAACTTAAAAGTACTAAAAAGGTAACAAGAAAACATAAATATTCTTGCTATTTGTCCAACGTAAATAATAAACATGATTAATGTGACAAAAATAGAAATTTCATAGGACAGTTGAAATATAAAACGCTAAATTAGCAATCAATTAATTATAATATAGAATAGATTTTTTATACACTAACAGTGAACTGATACCACAGTTCTATAGAAAAAATGTATATCATATTAATAACACTTTCCTAAAAATAACAGAAACATTGTATGGTAACAGCAATTCACAACATACATAATGAGAGCTACCCAAAAAGTAACTTATTTTCCACCTAGTATGGTAGAGAGTGGGGCAAAAGAGCATTCTGGTGTTACTGCACATTCAAACGTGCAAACTGCCAGTAGTCTGAAGTTTTTCCTGAATCTTCATCAAAATGAATTCTCAAAATATGGGCTTTGATAGAAAATTCTTCGATTTTTGTTTAATGATAAGATTTTTATTGGCGAAAAAACAAATCAATTCATCAATAACTTTTTAAGGTAAATTGAGACGTAACAATGATCGGAGGTGGAGAGACAGTTATCTATTATGTTTAATAAAGCCCACACACGGTTCACAATAAGGATTGCACTGGTCAGCCTCTCCTCATGACAGACATATTGAAAATAAAAAATAGCAAAAGAAAGTTGTGAAAATCATTATTTTATAATTACAGAGCTGTTGTTTCATTTTCCTTAAATTCCAAACGTTTATTAAATAAAACTGTAACATGGAAGCTTCAATATCATTATGATGAAACTCATTTCTCAATTTGAATGGTCGTAATATAATTCACTTAATGTACATAGTAATGTTTTAAAAATATATATTCAACAACCCTTTAAATGATAATAATTTATAGTATTTTAACTTGGTTTATTTTGTAATTGGTTAAAAGTGCTAGTTACTTTCTAGAAAGCCTACATAGTTTGTTGCAATCAAATAATCAATAGAAACATTAGTAACAAATACTTAGAACTAACTGATTAAAATCCCAAAAGGGAAGTGTAATTGTTTTCAATTCAAACAATATGCAATACCAGGTAGTTTAAAACAAAATCACGTAATATTCACCATTACAGCAGTATTTTCATAAAAGTATTACATTAACTTCCATCAATTTCTCAAAATTGTGAAGTTCATTAGAAAAAAAAGTTACATGTTTTCATCTTCTGAGTCATAAATTTCATCTGATCCTTCACTATTTAATTCTTCGGCTTCAGATTCAGAACTGCTTGAAAATTCCTCATTTTCGTTCTTAGGGATATTTTCCTCTAAATCATTTAAAATTTCCAACTCCTCAACAGTTAAACATTCCTCATTTTCTTCAGCTGGCTCAGGAGAGTTGAACATTTGAAGAGGATTATCAGTCATTAGAAGTCCACGATCCCATAAATCAGATGCAAAAAGAATCTGAAACAATAATGAATAATTTTATTTTATCATTCTTTTCATTTAAATAGACTTATTAGTAATGCTAATCATTATTTTGATTACCACAGTTCGATAACATTTGAAGCTTTCAGAACATAATAAAAAAAAAAATAATAATTTGAGATCTGAACAAAAAATGAAATGAAATGAAAAAATGTTTTATTATTCTGGGACTGTTGTCCCTTAAGAACAAAATATGAATACAGATTGTATGTCTGTGTGGTTACAATTAAATTGTATATTTACAATGAAAGTTGTCTTACGATAAAAATACAGAAAAGAGAAAGAAAAGAACAATTAAATTGTACATATATATGAGAAACTAAAATAACCTTAATAAATTGAGGTAGTCTCTGGTGGTGCTCAGATATTTCTCTTAGCTATATTTCACAATCATTCGGATTGAGAAAGGAATAGGTGCTTAAAGAGGAGAGGTTTAAACGAGGAAACTGATTGAGCGTGTCGAATATCAGCTGGGATGGAATTCCAGAGGGAGGCGGCTTGTATTGCAAAGGATTTGTCAACCGCAGCAGTTCGGTGAGGAGGATAGAGGTCGGAAGTACGAGATCTGGTGGGACGGGATTGGATGGAATATTTGAATTGTAAGCTGTGAAAAATATAGGAGGATCGATGGGTTCTAATGATTTGATACAGAAAGGTGGCTAGGAAGTACTGACGGCGATAGGATGGGTAGAGCCACCTCAACTCAGTGTAATACTGGGTAATATGCGTATCCCTTGAGATTCCGAAAACAAATCGTAGTGCGCAATTCATTAGGCGTTTACGATGGTGCAACATACAAAGCTATTGTCTAAACTGTCTTTACAATCTATTTTGTCACTATTTCTGTTTGTTTTATTTTTCGTGACAGAAACAATAAGTTTTCCGATTTTTAAATCATTTATAATTTTAGTTCATGATTCTCTTATACCAATACATAATAAAGTTTGGAGTTTCTTTTTCATCGTTACAGTTACTTTACACAACATAAATATTGGCTGAACAGTACATAAACAGGAATACTGTTGTTTCTTTAGGTTTAAAACTATTTGAGGAATATCTCTTCAATTTCTTTATGAATAGGATGATAGTGTTTCTTAATGTTTAACAAATCCTCATTTTTACAATAACTTTTATCAAGGCCCTGATTATACGGAATAAAGGTACTGTAGAATGGCTTAGGTTCAATTCTTTATCTAAATGATGTTCTTACCTTTTTGAAGAGAGCAGAAAATAAAAATTTTCTTCGCAATGAATATTTTCTTTAAGAGATGATGCATCTCATTTGAAGAAAATAATAAAATAGTAAACACTCTAAAGAAAATAAATTTCCCTCTATTCAAAGAATGGGTATAAAGTCGGCGAAACATTCTTAGAAAAATTAGGCTTCTTGTTTTTTGCAATGCTTTCTAATGAGTTTGGAGAATGCTATCAGTGAAACTGATTCTTTATTGTTCAATAGGTCACCAGAATAAGACGTTATCACCGATCAGTCATTATAACTGTGGTTTCTACATTCAGTAAAAAAAATACATAGCTAAGGTTTTGGAAATCACAGGTTCAGAAATATTCATCACTATATCCAATAGATTGTTGCATGCAATGTTGTTAAAAACGATACCCTGGGTATAAATTTATGGCATAAATAAATTTAACTAATAAAATAAATACCTTTGCATCATCATCATCATGGGGTAGATCAGAGACTTTAGTAAACTCTGGATAGGTGAACGACAGATGACGTAAAGAAGGTAACATGCTAAAGTCAACTATTAAATACTGCGGTTCCTCAGCATGATATTCTTTAGAGTTTTCAAGCGTGTGGTAAATTCTTAGTTGTTTTTCAATGGCACCTTCTTCATTGCAGACTTCTTCTTCTACAATTCTGGAAGTTAAAAAAAGATTACTACAGAAAACAAAAGACTACTAATCTAAAAAGAATATTAGAATAAAAAAATTTAAAAACCAAACCAAATACAAGTCTCACTAAAAATAACAAAAAAAAAACCTGGATCACTAAAACCCATGAAGGGTCTTGGGTATAGTACTACTTAGGGAAAGCACTGTTTCTAGATCAACAGTTGAGCAAGGAGTTAATTTGACCGAGATCATGCTCAACCACCAGGTTTCTCTCTTAATTAATTATTTAATTAAGGGTACCCGCTTTATAGAGGCTAGGTGTGCCCTAGAAGGGGCCCACGGCCAATGAAACAGAATAAATAATTTTCTGCCATGAGCTGGGATTCAAACCTGGGACCTTTAGCATTGGAAGCTCAGTACTCTTACCACTGAACTATTCCTTTCTCTCTAAAATAATAAAATAAACTATATTTTTTTTAATTTTTCAAAATAAATTGTAAATATTACATTTCATATTAATGTAACTCAGATCTAGAAGCCAGTTTACACGGTTAAGTTTCTTGAACAACCAACTGTGGTTAAGTACTTTGCTTTGAAAACACCATGGGAGAGGCATGTTGGAATAGAATCAATGTATTGAAGTATTAATATTTTACACATAAATATAACAATCCTATATATTATTATTAAACTTCTAAAAGGAGTTTTTTTGTTGGTAAGCCATAACTTCCTCAATTCTTCATCAAATCTAGTGATTGACCACTCATTTAGAAGATATTCTTCTCCTTAACATGCAAAAAATAGTCCTATCTCCTCGAAATTTATGAGGAAAAAGTTATGAAGGAAAAGAAACATTATTTGCGAATAACTCAAAAAGTATGATTTTTTTCTTGATTGTACCTATATAGAAAAGATCACTAAATTACCTGCAAAACAAAAAAAAATCGGACAATTATTAACAAAGATACAGTCCATTAGGTTTTGGTATACTTAATAATTTCTTTATCTTTAAAGATATTGCATTTACCATTATAAACTTTTTTTCTGGCATATATATTAACTTTATTATTAATTAAAGGCATTAGTTTGTTTCTAAATTATATATTTTTTAATAATTAGAAAAATCCCATGATTGGGGCTTTATTTTGTCTTTATTATCTTTCCATTCAGCGTTTAAAATAGGTTCTAGAAAAGCAATTTGTAAAAATATTTTGGTCTATTATGTTAAATGGAATATTGTAATCAACCGAGGAAAAAATATTAATTCCTTCCTTACATAATACATAGGATCTACTTATATCCATATTATTTTGTTATTTCATCACTAAACAAAATTTTCTGCAAATTATTCGCATGGGTCAACTAATGATTATTATATTCGAATTTTGATTTTTTTACAAATTCATCTTTATATATATATATATATATATATATATATATTTTTTTTTTGCCTATAGGTCAGTATAATCTATATTAATAAAAACGTAAATGTTTGTTTGTTCAAAAGCGCTAATCTCCAAAACTCCTACACAGATTGCTTTGAAATATTGACATAACGTTTCTATTGGATTCAGGAATGTTTTCATATACATTTAACTACCCTCCGGCCTTTCGTTTCGGAAAGGCGGCCGAAAAACATGTGTCGCTATAGACTGTAGAGCCTAAACGGCTGTAACGATTTTAATTGAACTTGGCTAAAGTCTTCTCCTAGAAGCCCTTTAAAGTTATGTATATAACATGCTTCCCTGAAAAGAGTATGAAAAAATAAATTACAATGGGTTCAAAACTATATTTGTGAATAACATAAAGTAAAAGTAAAAATACACAATTTTTGTGTTGGATTATATAAAACCATGATTATTTAAAAGCTTTCTTAATTTCCTGCAAATTAAAAAAAAAATCACTAAATTGGACGATTTGGTGCAGAGATATAATGTTCTAAACATTTAATACTTTTTCTTCAGAGATTTAGAGACAACTGCTTCTCACATGGACAATTATATGTTGCATATTCTAGAGTTGGAAAACCAGATAATCTCTACATCTAAACAAAGAATGGAACAACAAAAAATATTGTGTATCCGCAAGTATTGTGAAATAAAATATATCAGAAACATCTTTCTTTTTTAATTTTCTTTCTATTCAACAAAAGTGAGCCCCAGCAGCACATGGCTGTGTACAGCTAGTATACAATAGATTTAGTTTTGATTATTATACTGACTTATATAAAAAAAAAAAAATAATGAAAAAGTATTTTTTATATTAATATATCGATATTAAAATATGACATTTAAAATCAATATTTTTCCAAAATAGAAAATTAAATTTAAAATGTTTGAAAATGAAAGCTGGCTCACTGGTATTTTATATCACATAAAAATGAGATTTCTTTGATAACTAAATATGATAAATGAATTGACATTAATTTTCTAACTAACTAACTCCATGGCGCTACAGGCCGGTGTGGTCCTTGGCCGCCTCAATGAGCACTCGTCAGATGGCTCTATCTTTGACAGTCGCTCGCCAGTTGTGGGTATGCAATACTTCTCTGGTGTCCTGGATGGATGACGGCGTCCTCCCATCTTAGACGTGGTCTGCCCATCCCTCTTGTCCTGCAGAGATTCCCATGAAGCAACTTCCTTGGGACTTCCTCTTCTGGCATTCTGGCCACATGGCCAGCCCAACGTAGTCGCCCAAGCTTGATGCACCTCAAGACATCTGTCTCCCCATACAGATCATATAGGTCCTTGTTAGTATTCCTTCTCAAATCATCACCGATCTTAACAGGTCCAAAGATACGACAATTAATTTTCAATATTTACATTCCTGCAGGGGAGATCACCACAGCCCTTATAAATCTGTTAACATGCTAAGTTTCTCGATCTAAGTTATGATCAAGAAAATGTAGTTAACACATTTTTTTGATAGGTGGGTCGAACATTACTTCAAAATTGTAATGAAACTAGTAATTAATACATTCTTTTAAACAAAATGTAATCCTTCACCTACTTTGTAATCACTCATTTTATAATTCATTACTACCTAACATAATACTAACAAATTAACATAACTACTAATTAACAATTATCACAAGATATTTGACAAATGAATAGTAAGCCAGCAATGTACTTAAAACTATAGCATGGAAATTATTCTCGGAGACCTACTTTCAAAATAGAATTATTAACTTCATTCATTTATTTAACTACTAGTCATACCAGGGAAATAACTTTCCATTGGTAGTTTACTTTAGAAATTACTATGGTTTGTTATAACCTCAATTAATTTCAAACTTGTTCTAGGAATTTCAAAATGTACACAAACACTAACAATCACATAAGGAAAATGGTCCACTAAAAGGTATACTTGGAAGAATACTAATAGAGAACCATTAGTACACTTATCTTACCTGTAACAAAAAGCTCTTGTCCAACGAATTTTGGTATCTTGCATAATGATTACCTGACCCTCTAGGTTACCATTAGATCTCATTTTCCAACCATCCCCTAATACAGTACAAACTGTTTCCGCTAAAACATATATAAAATAAATATTTAAATTATGATAGTATAACAAAATTATTGGGTTGGCAAATAAGTCCTTTCAGTTTTTCTGTTTATTTTTATGTCACTATGATACACTTCTTATCTGATGAATTAATCCCTAAGGTGGATTGTTTCTCCTGTTTGTAATATGTCAACAACTATATCTGTTAACTCTTGTTGAAACTAGCTTAGTATTGTGTTTGCTATTGCACTGTGAATATGAAAAAAAATATTCATTATCGGTATATTTTATTGTATTATTTTTAAAAAGGTAAGTGTACTGCAGGAGCTCATAGAAAAATTTGCAGTGTTTATAGGGATAATGCCTTAATCGAACGCACCTGTCAAAATTGGTTTGCCAAATTTCATTCAGGAAACTTTGACATCAATGATGCTCAATGGACTGGTCACCCTCATGAAATTGAAACAAGCAATGTTAAAGCCATTGTTGATCAAAATCCCACCCAATCAGTGCGAGAGATTGCTATAGCCCTAAATGTGTCGCACACAAGCGTAGAAAACCATTTCACAAGCTTAGCTATGTTTCCAGGCTTAATGTTTGGGCTCCTCACATGATATATTTTCGAAAATCACAAACAATGTTATAACATCAATACGACTTTAGCTATCTACAAGAAATTTAGCAGGAATTTAGGGCCACATAAACTACACAAAATCACATCAACAGGACCTTCGTAAACAAACTACAAATGGAGATAAAAAATAAAAACCTATAAGGAGTTTTTGTTTATTTATTCCTTATTTAGGCATTAAATCAAAAAACCATTCATACGGCTTTGAAAAGGAATAATTCAGCTTTCCAACAGATAAAGTAACATCGAATTTGGAGAACATCCTGAACAAGAGTTATGAATGATCGGAAGGGTGTTGTGTTCCACCAAGACAACACTAGGCCCCACACGTCATTGGTCACTCGCAATCAATTATTGAGCCTTGGATGGAGCCTTTTGACCCACCCTCCCTATTCACCAGACCTAGCTCCAAGTGACTACCACTTATTAACTACACAATAATTAACCATTTCAAATTAATCTTTGGTGTAAAAAATAGTTAAATATAAAATATGAAAGAATTTTGTAATTAACTAAAGGAGAAATAAGAGATCGTAACAAATAATAGTAATGGAGGGACCAAAGGAATATGGCCAAGCTCACCCGAAAGATTACACCAGGCTTCCATATATAACATGAGCTTAATATAATACAGACTCCGACACTATTTTATATATATATATATATATATATATATATATATATATATATATATATATATATATATACATAATAGAGTATTTGAACAAATAAAAATATCCACAATGAAATGTAAATAAATAAAATGTCTATAATTTTTACTTTCACTTCCCCTTTGTCTGATAATACTTCTTTCTGCTAAGAGGTGTTAAGTGAAAGAAGTGTGATGTGCGCACCAGATTTTTTTTATTTATTGTTATCTTTTTTTCCTTTTTTATTTTTTAAAAAAGCGGAGATTATTTTGTTTCATTTCTAATTTGTATTGCATATAGTTCTATTTCTACATCCACATTTCTAGAAGCTAAAAACAAATGTTCTGTATTAAAAATATCATTACCATAAACCAGGAATGGGTTACTTTGGGCTTGGCAGTAACTATATATGTAAATCATAGTTTTGTTTGAAATTGAGTTTGAATCAGTCGGATGACTGGGACATTGTTATATCAAGACTAAAATTGTTATATGAAATAAAACTTCTGCCAAGTAAGATCAGTATAGCTTCCTCACCATTTGTATTGGCTATATTACAAGGTATACAATTTGTCATATGAGAATAAAATCTCTGGAAAAAGCCATTGTCGGAAATTGAGTAACCCCTTAACATATACGGGTTTGAAATCCCTGAGTTTTGTTCATCAGCGAATAGTAAAATGCGAAAGAGTTCTGCATATTCGATGATTCACAATTAAAAAAATAAAAATCCAGTGCATAATGAATATGATTATCACTACTTTTAGTGCAAAAAGGTCATACGTAAAAATTGAGTGTTATACAGGAAAGCATAATAACTAAATGTTTCATTATGATTTATTAATATAATTTCATATTTTATTGTCCTCTGCTATTTTCCACCGTAGCAGACTGCTTATATCAGTTGCAGAGTACAAAATGTCACCTTTAGCACAAATACAATAGAAGTTGAAAATTTTTGTACGATATCTTACACTAATAGGAGTGATATATATTTAATCGGTATGTTTTCACTCGTAAAATTGATGGAACAAATATTCCATAGTGAAATGTTCAACTTTTTGCGTGTTCGGAGTTAACGAGACCAATACTTTTCTTCAGTCAGAACAAAACTAATTAAGCTAAAATATAAAAATGTGAAGTTCACATAGTTTTATTGTTTCACATTGTTTTAGTAATTTAATTATTTATTAAAACTAATATTGAAAAATGTAACTATATTAATGTATTGTAAAAATACAGCATGAAGGGTGCCTTATGAAAATAGACATGATACATTTAACCATTATTTAATAAACTTCAAAACTGTAAAATTGTCAATGAAAAAGAAAGTAATTTTCTCGTAAGCAACAAACAATATATCTATAAATTTTGCATGCAGTAAATCATCACTAATAACACAAAGTTGGAATGACTGTATGAATTTCTCTTGGTAAAGATCAATTTCTACAAGCAAAATTAGAAGATACTTATTTTATGACACTTACATGCAGTAAAAACGGGAGGCAGTGAATCATGAATGAAGGAAAGACCCATTTGGTCAATGGCAGCATCCGTTTCAAGGAAATCATTAAGTTTATTAACAAGTTTTTTCAATACTTTTACAATCTCTTTTCTTGAAGATGAATTTTTGTGAACCAAGCCTGCACTTTTTAAATATCCTAAAGGTAAACCTTTTCTATAATCAACATCTAGACTTGCAGCTTTTTTCAATGTTAATGGAAGGAGCTGTGGAGTATGAATAACAAAATATTAAAAAAAAAAAAAAAATTGTGCTTAAACATAATTTATAAAAATAAATAAATATTATACCCAACAACTTAATGCTTTAATGCAAAAAACAAAAAAAAAAAAAAAAAAAAAAAAAAAAAAAAAAAAAAAAAAAAAAAACTACAAAGAAGAATACACTCTTATTACAGAATCTATCCATTCGGCATTGCGACCCATTTGTTCAGTCACAGCCTGTTCTATCATAGATCATCAGTTATGTCTATTTTAGCAGCTGCTGTCCTTCATCCTCTTACCCCAAGCAGAGATCTCGCAGGCCTACCAACGAAACCTCGGATGCCCAACCAGCCTGGTACCATAAAGTTGTTCCAATAGAATCCTGGAAGGTATTTCGTTCGGATCCATTCTTGCAATGTGAACAATTCAGTAAATGTGAACAATTCAGTAAAGTCTTGATGCTTTTATCAACATAGATAAATCTACTTCCTTATACTCTTTATTTAATTTGGCAATTGTTCCACCATATATTCGATATAGCACTTTCCTTTCAACCCTCAGGAGGACTTTCTCTTGTGGTTTAGTCATAGTCCAGCATTCCGAACCGTTAAATTAGAACAGGCCAAATGGTTATTTTATATATTCATTCCTTTGACTCCTTGAACAAAGAATCGCTTTTTAAATGTTGTTGGAGAGAGAAATAGGTTCGATTTCCTGCTATCCCAAACATATGAAGGAGTGGCCATGCTGCCTAAACAACCACATGATAAACTTAAGTTTACATGATGGCCAATAATTATGAATTCAGGTCCAGGTGACAGGAGGCTTTACCATTAACCTCCGCCCTCTCTCTTGGGAAAATGCCCGTATAGTCTACTGGTACTAGTACTGCTACTGATGGCAGAACTAGTCCAGTAAGTGGGCCCTATCGTGGCTCTTTTTGCTAATCCCTGACGGCTGCCTTGAGGTTGACACAACATACTTAACATGATAAGAATGTCTTGGGGGCGGGGTGACCGAACGGACTAATGTGTGTGCATAGCACCGTTGCCAGGCAACCTGATACAGATAACCGGATAAAAATTGTCAAGATTTCGTGTCCTGGCGACGGAGAAATCTTATAAATCTCTGCCCTCACCCCCTGGTCTGGGAAAATACAGCCTTAAAGGCGAGGAATCCTCCCCCAAAAAAGGAAAGAGTGGGAATGTATAAATTCATTTCACAGGGCCCCAATAAATGAAAATTAATCGACCCAGATGGAAATCGAACACACAAAATTCTTCAACGTGCCTGGCCATCCCATTCTATATAGTATCCCATATAGAGCTTAAAAGGTGTGGAAGGGGTGGAAACAAAAAAAAGGATTTAAGGATTGTACTCTCTTAATAAGAACCGGGGTTGTTCCAGCTTCCTCCAATACTTGAAATGCCTCTCAAAGCATACAGATTTCTTCCTGGAAGATCCAAATCATCTGTGAAACCTTCAAGAGAAAATTTAAAAACTAGACATGGCTAGCCATCACACTGCCTCACACCTGTTCTCATTGTAAATCCTCTCAATAACTTCATGTTCATTTTAACAAAGCATATATTGTCCTCCATAGTCATTTTTATCAACCTAATCAATTTTGCAGGAACGTTCATTTCTAACATTGCCCTGTAGAAAATCAATAAACAGGTGGTGTGTATATATTTAATATTCTCTTGTCTTCTCTAGCAGGATTCGAAGAGTAAATATTTGATCTATTGTTTATCTCCCTTTTCAGAGTACAAATTGGTATTTCCCACCCACACACTGGCTCTTGTTCAGCAAATGGAAAGGGGTCTTGCTATCTTTTAATTTTAGGATAGCATCCTATATTTCTTGTTCATCGAAAGACTCAATAAAAATCTAATTTTCCCAATCTTCGAGGACTCTTAGAGGTGTATTATCTTCTCTGCCCTTATTAAAAAGATTTTGGAAGTGACTTGCTACCTTTTCATGACGGCAGATTTTTCAATGACCAATGTTCTGTCTTTTTCCCTACAGGCATGATTCCGAGGTTTAAATCCTCTATGGCCTTCATTAATCATTTGAAAAAAATGTCCTGCTATTTTTGAGATTGAAAGCAGCTTCTACGTCTGTAAGAATTGTCTATGTCTGTCCTGCTTTGTATTTATAAAATAAAATATAACACGGTTACTAAAAACTTTTGGATATAATAGAGAATAAATAAATGCAAATTTTATAAAATGGATCATATAATCAAAGTAATCACCTTCTCCAAGAGATCACACCATGCTGTTTTCTGATAAACTGATAAAGTTAAATGGAGGGAATGTTCTTCCTCTGTCCGACCTTGGTGAATAAAACCTCTGGGAAAATATAAGACGTCGCCTGGATTCAGTTTCACCTCCATTACAGGCTCTCCAATTTCTTCGTCTAGAAGATTCCTACTAGAATATCGAGGGAGATAACCATGCTTGTTTCTAGACATAAACAACATAACCTTTATGATTTATTCGTTCCAGTGAGATAAAAATGTAATTCAAAATCTTAATTGGTTTGTACTGAAGATAAGCAATATAGGAGATTCATTATGACAAAGGATATAACTTTACAATTTTTTTTAAGCACATATTTATCTAATAATTTATTTAAAATATATTTGAAATTTAAAATCACTCAACACTAATGTTGAGTTTGTAGGAAGATGAACTATAAATTCATGCCTTCTTAATTAATATTTATGAATTGGCAGCAATCAATACTAAAACACAAAGGAAAATGTACTTCCATTATTCTTTTATTCAAGGTATTGATTCTAATCAGATTTGGCTGAAACAACCAGGATTCAATTCATTATCAATTCCTTCATTCATTATAATTGTCTCTTGGAGATGTTGGGAAAGCTCGTGTTTTGGAGTCAGACAAAATTCAGTCTGTAATTTTTGAATCCATTAATCTTCTTTAATTTTCATTAACAAGATAACAAACAACTAATACCAATTAAATTAAATTGAGTTTTGAAAGAGAACTTATACTTACATGGGTGGATATAATCTCCAAATTTTTGATCCTTCAATTTGTAAAATAAATGCTTCAATGTCATCATAATGAGGAGCGAAACCTTGAGACATTGGTGGAGTTAAATAGGCATTAGCGCCAACAAAACAACCAAAATATTCCTGGAGCATAGCATTGTAGCAGTGGACACTAAAATTTATTAAGAAAAGAAAACATAAAGAATTATGTGAATAGAATTAAATCTACTAAAGCACTATTCAACATAAAAATAAATCAATTTTTGTACTTTAAAATGAAAATAATAATAAAAAAAAAAATTAATTTTTAATTCATGATTATATTATATTTACTTCTTCTTTTTTCAACAAGAGAAAAAAATATAGATGAATGACCTTAGACAATAACCTTATAAAAGTATGATATTATTAAATTGTGTAAAAGCAAAATTAAAAAAAATAACAATAAATAAATAGTGAAATATTAATGTTTAAACAAGTTAATATGAAAGTTCTGAAGATGAATAAAATATTCTCTGAAACATCAATATAAAATAGTTATAATCAGAGCCATTCAAAATATGACATTTATTATACTAATATAACAATATAGCATTTATTTATTTATTATGGTACTTATTTTTTCGTAACCCTTCTTTGAAAGGAAAATTATTATTTGCTAATTAAATTATATTAATTCATTACAAAAATATGGTAAACTATATGTACGAGAATGATAAAATGAATTATTATGAACCGGCGTAACAATTGGGGAACGATATCAAGTGGGTCAATACTCTCCACTGAAAATCTGTGGCGTTGATAACTCAAAAAATATTTTAATTTCGAAAATTCAGCCAATGGCAAAAGTCAGCCCAAGTTCCCGGAACATTCTTCATAAAGAGTATATCCGTAGGTTCCCTTCCAATCTTTCATCATGATGTTTTCCATTCTTCCCAGCAAAATATTTTCATTTCCTCTCATCCACAATTCCTGGGTGGGAAGAGCGTTTTCATGAATAACATGCAAAATATCTCCCATCCTTCATGGTAAAATTGCTGCCAGCATCAATCCATTTTTTACAGAGATAGTTACAGTGAACAACTTTCGCTATGCTGAATTTGAAAAGATTAACAAGAAATAGGATTAGTAACCTTCAGAACACAAAGATCAATGAAAATCAAATAATACACTTTCACTACTATGATCTTTTGTCTGTGGTAGTTTAGACTTATATTTTTACTTCATTCAATTTATATTATTATTTTGTCGTAATTGCATTGTTTTGATTTTTTTTAAAAACTATTTATGTCTATAAAGAATTCTTCTTACAATCCTCCCATAGGGTTATGAAAGAAAAGTGAATAATAACTTGAATTTCTCAGGTTTTTCTTTTAATAAATTTCAAACAAATTTGAATCCATCAGTAACAGAATAGATGTAATTGAATAACAAATCTGGTACATAATTTTTAAAATAGCTAAGAGAGCTCAGAGCAAAGTAAAAAATTCTATTAAAACTTTGAGCCAAATCCGATCAGCCATTTTTGAAATATAACCTTACTAAGGAAAATAAGTTTGAGCACGCTTAATAAAATTGACACTGAACCAATTTTACACCAATCCTAAACTTGTTTGATCAAGAAAAATTTGAGAAGCCGTTTTTTAAAAAACGGACCTGTTAAAGAAAACACATTTGCGCAATACATCGACACAAACAGTATAGGTGAAATAAAAGGAGAGACTCTGATAAAATTGATATGGAACCATCAGAATAGGAGCAGACCCCCATTACCCTTGAGAACTTCATGAACTTGGATTAACAATAGTAGAGATTATGATTCCCATTACATGGATGTGACTACAGACAGACATGGTAAAAGAAAAGTAGAAATTTACAATTCTGAGGGCATTTTCCTATTTTCAATTACTTTCCAACCTTCAGCAGTGAGAAAAGCATAAATAAGAAAAAAAAATTTTTTTATGAACATATATTTTTATACATACACATGCATATACATATAAAGTATAAATGATTGTTGTAATCAATAACCCTTATTTAATATATGTTACCTGTGAAAAAAATATTGTGGATTTAAAAGCCTAATGCTGCAGCCATTAGAATAAAAATCCCAAACAACATGGGCATTAGCTCTCCCTTCCTAAAACATAAAAAGGAAAATAGATATATCTAAAAATGTTTGTTCTGAGAAAAGCTTAGCTTTATAAATATAAATCATTACCAAGTTATGTGTTTCTCTCTTCCCATCAGAATAGGAAGTAACATCAAGGTGTTTCCCAAAAGTAACAACTCTATCCCTTAACACAGAGTCAATCCTTTCGGTAGAAATAAGACTATTAAACGTATTTGTTGTATGACAAGGGATATGGACAGGTCCTTTTTCCCAATATTCACTAAAAATGTGATGACAGGTTATAATTAATTACACATTAACTGAAATTAAAAACAAAAATTAATAATCACACCATTTCTGGGAGAAAAGAATACAGTACCTCATAAAAGTATCGACAGAAATTGATCCAAGAATCTTTTCAAAAGCGTTTTTCCCTGAATCTTCACTACTTTTCATGATTGTTTCAGTATTAGCAAGATGTGCCAACTCAATATCTTTGACAGTTCTTGGTCCTTTAGTGCTTTTATTACCAAGTTTAGATAATTTCAGCTCAGTTCCTTTTTTAGATGCTAAATAATCATCAACTTTCTGCAAAGTGTTATCAGGACTTACATCTAATAGTCGTTTTTTAGTCATATTTTCGTTAGATACATTTCTTCTCTTTTCAAACCTAGGAGTACATACAATGGGTTTTTTTGACCTTTTATCACTTCCAGTATTTGACTCAGGACTAACAAACAGTACTTTTTTTTTCTTGGGTGGTTCTTTGTCACAATTTGAAATCGGCGGTGAGCTTAACTCGGCAGATTCTATGGGACTGGGTATCTCTGATAGTTTTCTTTTGGATTTTTTAGACTTTACTTTTTCATTGGTGCTTTCAGAGGTTATTGGATTGGAAAGAGCTTCTTCACTTTTATTTATATTCAAACTTTTATCTTCATTAATTTTAACAAACTTACCCATCTCCAAAATTCTTGTTTCAGGAATAGATTTGTCTTCTGCATCAGGGATATGGACTTTTTTCTTTTTTTTTAACTTTTTCTTTTTTTTACTATCAGCAAAAACAAGAGGTTGCTGCTTAGACTCCATGTTTTTTCCGAGGTATGGCCCTCCTAGACTGCTATCATCATTACTTTGATTTACTTTTTTTTTTATAAGAATAGGATTGAGTTCTTTTTCGACTGAATGATTGTCATTTTTATTTAATGGTTTCTGAGTTTTTAACTTTATTCTTCGCTTCTGATTTTTCGAAACAGATTTCTTTACTTTACCTGAATATACAGCAAAAGCTGATACATTCATATCGTCAGGTACCATAATTATCTAAAAAAAAAGAATACATAAGTAAATAGAAAACTTATTTGAATGTTACATATTAGCAGTAAAATGAAAAAGTATTATAAGCAAGAAAAAATAAAAATCTACTAAGTGGGACACCAGACTCCTCTGGACCTTTGTTTAAAATATTATGTCATTTTGACATCTCATTTTCTTATTAGCAGAATAAAATAGCATAAAATAGATAGACATGTTTTTTACATACAGCTATCGATATACCTTGTAGATCAATAATTCTATTTATCGATATATATCTAAAAAATAATGAAGAAATCAAAGTATCAACACACAGAATAGAGAGGGCGAGAGCATTTTAACAAAGGTCGCCAAAAAATGAAATGGAAAGGTGAAACCTGTTAGTAATACAATCATTTTCTAAATACTAAATAAGGATAGCTATTTTGAATGACTTCAATAACCCACTGACATTCGGTAGTACAGTATTACAGAAGTAAATCTAGTAATGTAACCAAAATCAAGATAGGGGCATGGACTTCTTATCTATTATCTTATCTATCATGATGTTTAAATACAACCATGATAATCAAATACTTGTGGCACAAGTTAAAAAGAGAATTTAAATGATCTGAATTAAATATACCTTCAAAACAATCCTATGTGAACAGTTCAAATTAAGATTTGTCTAGTTTAAGAGAAGAAATAAAATAGAAATAAATTTTTAAGATTATCATGGATAAAAAATAATCATGATTATTAGTCATAACATGTTTATCATGGTTTCCGACATATATAAAAAAAAGAGAGACAGATCAGGGTATTTACTGGGGAAAAAACAGAGTGAATAACAACTAAACCTCAGAATCCTATAACTAAATTAATTTAGAATCAAACATATCTCTAGAAAAGTGAATTCGAAAAAAGAAATGCTTCAAATCAACAAAGTATTATGTACAGTGCAAACCGAAAAATTGAAAATCTCTTTTTATAAATCTAACACTTCAAAGGAAGGTAGAGATGTTCATTAGCATGATTTGCTTAGAAACAGAATATCATATTGAATAACTGACAGATTTGAGTTTAGAGGTAACGTTAAATTTGGCCAGTTTCATACTATAATATCAATAATCCACAAGGCTGACACATGGTAGTAAGAGAAAATCAACTGCATAACAACTTATTAATTCTAATTCTCATTAATAAAAGCTGTTCTATTCATTCCATAATAAATTTCAACAAACCTTGTTTTAAAATATAATGCTTCTGAGATGCAGTAATCAGGGCCAAAGATAGCTAGTAATCACACCAAACATATCATCTTGTCAAATGTGTAACCTTCCGCCGGTTCCTGTTGCGCGGCATGATTCCAGCTAGGTTTTGGCTTTCTCCAATACAAAAACAATAATAGCGAAAAATAATCAATTAAAATTTAACTAAATTATTGATAGATTTTATCTAATATAGAACTATACCTTAAATATGAAAATATTCAAATTTCTGTAATATATTTCTATTATAAGACAAGGGATACTTTTAATTCAACGAGGTAAGGTTGTATGAAAATAGTTTATGTTTAATTCCTGGAAGTACATAAAGCGAATGACGGAAATCCTTGACACTCCCTCTCTGACAAGTACACGGCGACAACCTCACGGTAGTCGTCAGGGAATAGCAAACTCGAAAGGACGGCCCACTAGCTAGGAATGGCCGAGCTGGCTAACGCGTGTGCACAGTACCGTCTAATAAAAGATAATTTGATAAAATACTTACGTGTTCGGGTCCCGTGCATTGACGACAGATTTCGGTTTGGTATTCAGTAGCAAACCAGCACATGTGGTTATTATACAGACTCAGATAATCTTTAAATATCAGTGAAAAATAAGCCAATTTGTAGATGTCTGGCTACTGTGGCCAAGTTCTATTACACAGCGCCAATCTGTAGTAATGTTTTCCAAGAAAGATCGAATGTTTTAGAGGGCCAACAAATGATCCACAAGCCGCTAACAAATTAAGGCTATTCGTGTAGAACATTGCAACTGAGGTTTCCACAAATGGAGGGAATCAACCCTAGATTTTCTGGGGGTTAGAAATCCTGCCGTTAAATAATGCTCTTGAATCTGTATGTAGGAGTACTAAGCAACAGGAAAAATTCTAGGAGATTAGAGCAATAATTGACTGGAGGTATCAATGACGAAGTTTATTAAGGCATCTACATAACAGCCTCAGAGTCAAAAACAGCCTCGGTTTTATTTAAGATTATTTCTTAGTGGACTCATGGAATGAATTTCGACGCTCTGGCTAGAATAGTTGATTGCCTGAAGGGGAGAAAAAATTAATAATTAAATTATAATTTCCATAAATAAAAGGGTAAGATATACCGATCCACTAACTCTGCCAAGAAGCTTCCTTCGTCCCAGCACTGTTTTAGGTTGGTTTGGTGAGTGAAAAGATCGACAGGTGGAGTCTCATAGCATATAAAAACAGTTTTTTTTTTCTTCTTTTTTATCTAGGGATTACTATTACGAATTTATTTGTATAAAATTGGTAATATATATTTACTGCAAAAGTACAAAAAAAAAAAAAAATGTACAACTACAACCTATGAAGGGTTTTGGATACAGTACTTAGGAAGTACTGTTTCAAGGCCAACGGTTGTGCAGAGAGATGCTCGGGCCACTATCACGCTCAACCGCCAGATTTTCTCCCTTAATTATTTATATTAATAAATAGTACCCGTTTTATAGACGCTAGGTGTGGCCTAGAAGGGTCTCCCGATCCCCAGATCGTTCTACTGCCGGATTCGTACCTGGGACCTTGAGTTTTGGAAGTCAATGTTTACCCACTGAGCTACCCACTCCCTGTAAAAGAACAAAACTTAAAAAAATTAATATATAAACAAAAAAAAACACGAATTTCTATTGGGCTGAGAGCATACGGAAATCCTCTGGTGCTACCTGGTAAGGGCAAGCGAACTACTTAAAGAGACGTATAGCGTGTATCAGGCTGCTACAAGTTTAACTGAATATTCTGAGGAAGACGAGAGGAGCCTAATTCTCAAAAAGTGAATATAACAAAACAAGAGAGAAACATGACACTTTATTTCCTATAAGACGAACCGAAGGCCAGTGGTGAAATTGAATATTATCTCATCCAATTGGCTTATTCGCTTATTGGACGTGGAACCTTCAAGAACTATGAAGCTCCTTCATATAAGTTAGTGCATAAATTATCATGCCATACTTTTATAAAACGTGTTCTTCAGTCGCATATATTTTGCCCAAGAAAAGGAAAAGATAGAACCCTTGAAAAAACTTTTCATTCTAATGATTGAGCAGAGTCGTAGTGGTACAGAAAATTATTGTTAGTGCTCAAATTATTATTTTCTTTAGCAAGAAAAAATGTATCTGGAATTGTATATATATATATATTGTTTTAAGTGAACTAGGATCCCTAGAATATTTTCTTTGGACATAATTTACTTTAATCCAAATCTGGAGAAAGCTGTGAACAAAATAACGACAAAGAAAAACACAGACAGCGACTTAATGTAGACTCCGGTGAGGAATTAGGTGCATAATCAACTTGCTCCCCCCTCCCCAACGAAATAATGCTTGACAGTGGCTCCTCGGGGGTAGTAAAGCCAAGTCGGGAGATTTTTTAGTGAATAAGACTTATTATGTTTACTTTCAGACAAAGTCTTTAGGATTTTTTTTCTAATATTCATTTTAGTTAAAAATAATTGAATGTCTCATGGAAAGTGGTTTCAAATTAAAACAGTGAAGCACGGGAATGGCACTAATAATTTTAGTTTGATTTAACAAGAATAATATTAAAATTTCAATATCAGAAGAAATACTTTTTCTACAAATAAATGGAAATATCACATCAAATCAATAAATTATTGCTAATGAAAGTTATTAATTATTGTTAAGTATTCCCATAGCGTTGACTTTGATATCATGATCGAATGATTAAGGAATTTATTAATTCACTTTTTATTTTACATTATTTCCCAAATATTCCATTAATCGTGTTGTTAATGAAATATGTTTTTGATAGTTTTATTATTATAGAGATTTATTTGGTCAGAAATTTAATGTTGGCCATCCTGGTTCCAGCTGGAGTAAATTTAGTGTAGTTCAAGAAAGTTATGAATTATAACTTGTAAATAATGAGCTGTTTACTGTTAGCTGTTACTCCTTATTTTGATTATACCTAATGGCTGACATAGATAATAAATTTAAACTAATTTATCCTTAAAAGAATTTGCTGAAGTCATTAAGTTTCATTATTAACTTTATGATGAATGATTGCATTGGTTTATTTTTATACAGCTATAGTTCTTAATCAAATATTTGGATAGTTAATAATAGGATGAGTTGAAATGGTCACAATGGGAGGTGCTCATTTTCAGTATCATTCCATTAACATAAAAAGTCCATCTATTATTTAGGATTTTTGATGAATCTGTGTACTGGTTGATATTTTATTAGTTATGGTAACTATGAGCTCTGAAAAGGTTGGGAGGCGGGGAAAAGGTGGAGAAAGCAGTACTAGTAGTAATAGCCAGCAAGCTTCAAAACCCAATCACGATGACAATCCCAATCACCTTGTATATTCAAAGGTGAGATGTATTATAATATATAATACATGTTAAAATGATTTATCATGTAATGTTTGTAACTTAATATTCACCTTAATCCTTAAGCTGTATTTTTAAGTTACTATGAAACAGTTTAATTATTACCTTCTTACAATGTATATTGATAATTTACTGTTGCATTATTTTTTTGTGACAATTACATTTGATACAATTAAAAAAAATTAATATCTTGAATCGGTGATTATTTAGTGACAAAAAGTTTTGAGAATCATTTTGTTATTGTCACACCACTTCATGGAATCAATATACTTAAAATCTGATAATCCAGTCTGAAATAACAGTTGGTCAATAATTGACTGATCCTATAAAATATAGGTGCTTGTGTTAATTGATTGAATTCACCACTCCATTTTGAGTACAGAAACAGAGCTATTGCCAACGATTTGCGATGACAATCTTCACCTGACAGTTTTACTTTCACTTTATTTGTTCTAATAATAAAAGAAAAACTTCTAGGGTTTTTTTTATTTAAATCATGATATCGTAGTGTGGTTTACGATTAAAACACATTTTTTTTTCTTTTAATAAATTATCTCGTGTTTCAAATAATGTATAATTTTGTGGTAAAGTTAAAAAAAAATTATAAATTACAAAAGTTGGAATATCCTACAAAAAATAAATAAATAAAAATTACAATCTAGTATGATATAATAACTATAACTTAAATATTTTTAATTTTCATTATTACAGATGGAGTCAATTATTGAGAGGATGCAAGATGAAAATACAGGAGTGCCAGTAAGAACTGTGAAGAGCTTCATGTCAAAAATTCCTTCTGTTTTTACTGGCAAGTACTGTTATAACTCTTAAAAAGTTCCGCCCTTCTGTGCACATTGGCGACTAAGGCTATTTAAGTTTCATAGACAGGTTACAGAGATTTAAGTTATAGAGACAGGTTGAATTCCAATGGACCTTAATTCCATCATGCGATAGAGTAATAATATCATTCCAAAAAAATTGTTTTAAAATTTAAGTATTAATATATAGAAGAAAAAGAAATTTCAAAATAGTTATATGTCAAACATCTGTGGCATACCATTCCTTATCACTTTTCCGAAAAATTACTTTAAAAGTTGCCTCTTTAGGGCTTTTTTATTATTCACCTTTTTTTTTTTAAATTAAAAAAAGTCAAATTATTCGTTAAATGACGATGTCGACTGTTTCTTTAGAAAAAAAAAAAAACTTCCAGTTTTAAAATAAAGGAAACCGACTTTGCATCAGAATATAAGTAAAATATGGTGTGATGCGCGCATCAAACAACTTTCACGTATCAACCTTAAAGTAGTAAGTTATTTTCATATATAGGGAAGACAAAGTGAAAAAAGACAGTATAACTTCATTTAAAACAATTAATTATCACGTTTTTCCTGCTCATCGAATCTATAAAATATATACATTTGTATCACTTTCCATTTCCTTTTACAGCTGTGTATAGTACTAAACAATACTAATAATTGTGGGGGAAAATTAATTTTTTGGAAAAATTCTGAGTATTATCGGAAACATTTGTCATGAATCTCATCAAAAAAAGTATTTAACATAAATAAATATTGTATATTATTATGTTTATATTAGTAGATTCTCAACGTTTTGGGTGAAAAACTTTGTAAGTTATGGATAAGTGATATATAAAACTAATAATATAGTATCGGATATGTACAAAGAGAGGGGATGGGGAAAGGTCGGGTGCTCTCGGCTGTTTCCCTTTAGCTTGCAACCCTTATTTCTTAAGTTTCCTATAAATTTATTTATCATATTTAACCATTTTTCATATGTGAAGTTGTTAATTATTTCAATAAGAAAATAAAACCTATAGAAGGAGAAATGTTTAAAATTAGGCATTAAAACGCTGTTAGGGAACATCAATGAGAATTAGATCTACATTTTATTAAAAACTGTTTAATTTTACTCTGGTATGATATGATAAATTTAATAAAAGTCGTTAATTTTGTTTTCGAGAAAATTGTAAAATTGTGTAAAATCTACATCACAAAATGACATTTCCAGTTAGCCGATTTCCGCATAACAATTGCTGTAATATTCCTGGCATGAACAAACCTTAAATTTCAGTTCCATATGATTTTTCGTTTTCGAGCTAGACTGTTCATACAGACACACACCATTTTGCAGGAGTTGGTTATTTAGACTCAGAGGAACTCAAAACATATATGTTCATTCAAAACTTTTCACGATCGCAATATTTACTCTTACTAAGTATAAATATGTAAGGTGTCTCAGTTTTTAATGGCCGAACACTGGGGATTTTATGGATACACCAAAATATTAATGTATATTCTGTATTTGTAACTTGTTCTAAAGGGAGACTAGTCCCAGAATAATAAAATATTTTCATTCATTCATTCATAAACACTGGAGATTGATTCTAGGCAAAATTCCTTGTCCATTCTAACAAAAAAGTTCATTTGATACATGTGCTGATTCTGAATGGAAAAGAAGTTAAAACCAATTTTGTGTTTTTTCTTGAGGTGGTCACAGTTTTTATTGAATAAGAAGGAATCGCTCAAAAGCTGTTCAAGATAATTAAATTCTAAGTACACCATTGTAAAGTAGGCAAAACTTTCTTTGATAACTACAAATCAAATCTACTACAGATGAAATCTACCAAGTTCAATGATAAAAGGTCTAATAATGCAAAGCTTACCATTATGCTGAATTATTTCACGAATGGGGATTACAGAGTTATGCTTGGTATCGGTATTGTAACTGCAGTAGTACAGCGGCCATATTAGAGCTCCTGGAATTCTCTTTTATCATCGACCATAGTAAATTTAATCACTGTTTTCTCAACAAAATTTGTCTACTTTTTGATGGTTGATTTTTCAATTATCTTGAACAGTTTTTTTTTAGAAATTCCTTCTTATTCAATAACAACTGTAACCACCTTTAAGAAAACACAAAATTGGTCTTAGCTCCTTTTCCATTCGGAATTGGCCCATGCATTAAATTACCTGTTTTATTGAAAATTTTTGTCTATAATCACCCTCTAGAGTTTGGTCATTAAGAACTAAGACACCCTGTATATTACAGGGTTATTATGTAAGTAAAAGTAAAAAGTTCAAAACACCATCTCTCTGCACCAAGTTGTCCAATTCGGATGATTTTTTGTTTTTGTTTTTTATATAATTTCACTATCTTTCAAATAGTGCATGATGATCAGCATGATCAGCCAAAAAGTGTGTTCATTTTGAGTAATTGGCTAATAAAATTCTATACTGGTCATAACTTTATCATTTTCTTTTCGGGAAAGTAAGTTATATGCATAAATTTACAGAGATTCAAAGAGAAGACTTTTGGCTTTTCATTAAAATCATTACAACTGTTTCTATTGAAAGTATATAATGGCATAGATTTTTCGGCCGCCATTTTGAAATGGTAGAGTGTATGGTAATGTTGGGTTTTGAGGATCATTCTCAGGTGACATCTAGCTATGATACCAAATTTCAGAACAATTTGTCCAGCTGTTTTAGAGAAAAACATGGATGGTGGATTGATAAAATTGATAATCAGTGCAATGGAATCAAATTTAAGACTCCATAAACAATTAGAGTGACTATCTAAACTATTTCAGTTTCCTAACTAGGGTTGGCATTGATTATCCAGAGGAATCAATGCTTACTATACTACTAAGGTAGTAATGCTTTATTATATTTCCTTCATTTTATCCTAGTCAGTTATAATTTACATAATGTCAGTTAATTTTAGTTAGAAATTTAATTATTATTAAATTAATGTCATTTAATGATTTACTTGTTTTGTTATAGGTTGTGATCTGATTCTATGGATGATCAAAAATCTCGATGTCGATGACCAATGTAAGTTATAAAATTTTTATGAAATTAAAACTTAAATTATATCATTGAATTGAGAGTAACCAGGAACATTAAAAATACAGATTGTAATAAGTCACATTTTTAAGGTTATTAATCTTCTAAATATATATACATACATATATATATACATATATATATTACAAAATTTCTCCAATCAACCTTTGAGTATTATATTTTAACCTAATTATTTAAATTGGGAATTAGGTCACTAAATTATAATTCAATAAACAACAAATTATTCATTGAACCTGTTTATTCGACATTTCGGTCCTAGATTTTATGCTAACAGTGGGATCCTCTTCAGTGTTAGAACAACAAATAGCTGCAATCAGTACACAATCATGTTTCTGTATGTTTCAAATTATAATTATTTCAAAATTTAACATACTTTAAAATAGAGCCTTGATGCCTCAGGCCAGGGACATGCCTACATCCTCAGCACCATCCACTAGTACAAATATTAAGCTACTGGGCTGCCAACCGCCTGCCCTCCCGGTTCTGAGCCCGAAGCGCCAAAATAACACACGCAAAGCAATGTAAAATGTATTTATGGTAAATAAAACAATTGATGAAACTTTCCTATAATTTTCTAATTTGCATCCTTTCAATTTTCGTACATGCACTAAATTGCTGAGAAAATTCAGGAAAAAAGTTATAAAGAAAAAAAAAATGTTTTGAGGCCTAACTCGCTAAGTATATATTCTATAATAAAATTTATATACAAACTTTTGAAAGGTAATTAACTTACCTGCAAAGCACAAGTTTCTCTACCCTTAACAGAAATTACTGTCTGATAAAATCGGGCAATGGCAAAAACTTTTTGATTAGCAATATTAGAGTATATTGAATTTTTTACACTGATCTTCCACAAGCCTGTTATATTGCTTTTGTTTATCAAAGAAATCGTGCTCAAATCTTTTCTTTGATCAATTTTCAGGAAAATAAATCTAATTAATTTTTTTGTTTCTTAATGGACATATTTAAAAATATAAAAACTTTTCTGAAATAGGCAGGAAAGTCATGTGAGTGGACACACATTTTTTTTTTTTATAAGAAATGAAACTTCTTATTTACCTTTAACTACTAAAACTTCTTATTAACCTTTAACTTACTAAAACTTCTTATTCTCATTTCAAATTAATGAATGCTTAAGTGAAAATTTGACAGAGAAAGCATAAAAGTTAGTTAGTGGTGGAAAATAAGAAAAGGCTTTTGTTTCTTGAAAAAAAAGTTAGTGCAGAATATCTCATTAATTCCTTATTATAAATATTTTAATTAAGCTTATAATTTATGAAATTCTTATGCTCATAGGCTCTAAATATTTCCTCTTTGAAACTTAGATATTAATATGAATCTTAAGCAAAACTCAATAAGAAAGTCCATTGGATTAGTGAAATACTTAATTAATGATAATAGTTTATAGTGATGAACAATGAAGATAATGTATTCAATAAGTCACAACGAATTGGATTGTAAGTTCTTCGATTTAAACAAGTATTTAGATAAAATATTTAAGAAGTTGGTTATTGTATGAGGGTTGTCAAATAAGTAATTTTTATTTTCATCTTAACCCACCAACGTTCACTTTTTATATTTTATAAAATATCAAGAATATGCCCATAGATTATCTTTTTAAGAATGTGTTCTTTATGTTTGTTGTAGTTTATTATGCTTTTAATATATTTTTCTAAAAACATAGATTTGCAATAGTAGAATATATGTAGTAATATCTTTCTGTTGCCCTCAATCCTAAGAAAACCCTGTTAGTGTCTATGTGCATGTCGTAGTTAATTAGATGTTTGACTAACCGATACTTTGGTTTTTTTCTATCTATAATATTTTTTATTATTAATGATTTATATAATTTTAGAAAAGTTTTTTCAGTGCTTCTTTTACAAAATTGATAATTCCTGAAACACGATGAGAATATTGATCAGTTTAATCCTTTGGGAAATAAGTTGAATAATGAAGTCCTGTTTCATTATCTTCCTCCTCACAAACAAATTTTAACACATGTTTCTTGATATAACTAAGATTGCCATAAAATCTCTACATATCCTATTGGATGTCATAGTTCCACATAAAGTATAGTTCCATAAAATATTCTGAATGGCTGAGGTGGCTTTCAGACAATACAATTATCTGAAAAGATGCAAACGAAAAATAAAGAAATACTTTATTCATAATCAATCCCCTACTTTCAGGATATTTACAAAAATTTTCAGCGTATTTAAAATTAAATATATTTGGTTAGGACTTGCTGATTCAAAATATTTCTGCTCTGATAAAAGTTCTGTCTTGTTTGCAAATAATCAGCCCAAATAGTTTACTGGTATAGCTTTAATGTTTGAAAAGTTGCTTAGCCAAATACCAGGTAGAGCCACTACCATCGTAGCATTGATTAGTACTATTTATTTTTTTTTTATCTCGGCAATTGGTCGATTTGTTTAATTAAGCTTAATTTGACCAGTCCTACTTACTTTGATTTAGAAAGTTTAGGTTTGTAAGCTATTTATAATTAATAAAGTTTTAATAGCATTGCTTTATTAAGATAAAATGCTTCTGCTTAATGTAAGCTTAACACCTAATTATGAAATATATTGATTTTACTGCTATATTAAATAAAATAGCTTGTAATAATGCATGCAACTGATTTAAATCAATTATGCTTTGAACTTTATAGTCTTCTAACAATTGGAACTCTATTTGAATTTCGATTCAGGAGCTCTAATAAGTAGAAAAAAAATCTAATTCAATTTATAGGTACTTTTATAGCTGATATTTATTTAAGTTTTCTTTTGCATTTTATTATTGTATGAAAATCATGAAATTAATTATAAGTTTAATAAACTCATACATGATATTAATTATAGTATTCAGTAATTAAGTTCTAGTTTGTAAAATCCTAAATTTCTTTTATTTATCTCTATTTTAGCTGTTTATCTTTGCAAAAGGACAATGCAGAATAAAACCCGCTTAGAACTTGCAGATTATGAAGCTGAAAGTTTAGCACGACTTCAGAAAATGTTTTCCCGTAAATGGGAATTTATATTTATGCAAGCAGAAGCTCAGAGTAAAGTTGATAAGAAGAGAGACAAACTGGAACGTAAAGTTCTAGATTCTCAAGAGAGAGCTTTTTGGGATATGCACCGACCAATGGTAAATATTGTGTTGCATAAAGTAATTTTACATTTTTATTTATTTATTGTACTCAAGAAAATATTGTATTGGTCCATGTTTCATTCCTTTTCTTCTACTGAAACTACATTGAGAATAACTTGTCTTTCTGATAGACACTATCTGTGATTCCATTTGTGCTTATCACAAGTATGTAATTCTCTCTATTTAATGGAGTTTATTTCTATATGGATTGTCTGAATAGGTATATATATTGTAATATATTTTTTAAAATTTTCATATTAATAAAAAAATCATGAAAAATTGACCTCTGTAAGATTTCAGTTTGAAAAATCGTTAGTACAAAATGCAAATCTTAAACTTATGTCTTGGCCTTCAGAGCAATACTCATAATCCAAATCATTCAGATGGGAAGATCTTGAAGTCCTAATTAGACTGTGCCTTGTGAGCTGAAGTGTAGTTGTCTTGAAATACTTCCTTTTCTTATTATGGAGTGTCATTTAAATGCCTCTTTACTCCCTCCAGTGTGCTTTGTTGGTAGTTTTGGACCTGTATTTAAAATTACCTGTAATTGACCTGTAACTAAAATTAAAGTTTCATAACTTTTATCACTGCTGCCATATACTAATTGGAATATTGTTCTCTTTGAATTGTTCTCCGTATATACTTGTTTGTAGTTTTTTATCCTTTTTATGAATTAGGATAATTATTGAAGCTGGTCAAGCCAATGTTTTCCTTTCCAACTCTATTTTGATTGATTGATCTTCTAGGATGTATATGTGCCACTCTGCCTCAGGAATGCCTATCTGCAGTAAATCATAGCAGATGTATTTAACTTTTTCAGAAGAATAAAACCGATTCAATTTCATCAAATTACAAGTTACATTCAAATATAATTTTAGGAAGTAATCAAATTGAGTTGTTATTTCCTCATCCAGCATACACAGCTCTGATCTCTCGACCTCATATTATCTATGTTGTGAACAACAGAATATGGCATGCGTCTTCTGGTGCGTAGCACACTTCACAATTTTTATAAGGTGAAGATATTTCTTTGTTCACCCTTGATTTATTCATAACCTGACTATTTGCCCTACAACTTGTCGGTTTAGCTGAAATTTCAGAGAAAACTACAGTTCAAGACTCTCCTTTGCCTTGATAATTATCAATTATCTTTTCTCGTCTGTGATATTTAATCATATTAATATTGCCACACCCTTAAATATTTCTGGAAATCAATTTTATTTTGAATATTACAGATTACAGACAGTAAAACATTTTTTTTTTTTTTTTACCCATTCAAATAGTCCTTATTTATATTTCGTCATAGATTGTTTGTTGTTTTAATTATATAATATTTCTTTTAGCCTGGGTGTGTTAACACTACTGAAATGGACATAAAAAAAGCTTGTAGAATGAATAAACACCCTTCAGGGAAAGCATCAGGTTCAGGTTTATCTTTAGAGGTTCTTCAGAGGGAGCTGGCATTTCTTAAGACGCGGTTAGATAGATCTAACATTAAGATTTCTAAAGTTGCTGAAGCGTAAGTTTATTCTATTTATTAATTCTACATTTAAGGAACCTTTGAATTGAATATTTGAAAACCTTTAAATATTAAGATGACTTGTGTTTTCTTTGTAAATAACTTGTTGATTTAAACTGAATCTGATATTTACCCAAAAATATTTCTTTATGTACCATTTGAATATCATAAAAATTCAAGATTCAATTTCAGTTGTACTTATTGTACAGGTATATAAACTACTTTGAACAGTACATTGAATACGATCCATTTTTTACTCCTCCTGAAATCGCAAATCCTTGGCTGTCAGATAATCCAGATTTTTGGGAACAAGAAAAATTAGCGTAAGTAGTTCTTAACTTAAGTGCAGATTAATATTTAGTATAACTAAAATGGCTCATAGTGAATTATCTAAGTCTAAGATTAAATTTATTACTGCATCGGTTATTATTTCTGTTCATATTTATGTCATTTCTATATTCCTACTATTGTTTCATTTCAGTATTTTGTTTTTCTAGCCTTGAAGGCCGGCCTACAGTATGAGTTCAATGAATAGTAAAATATTTTTGAATTCTTCTGAACTGCTACCTAATATCTTGAATCATGGTCTTCCCTTAAGAAAAAAATATTGAAAATAAAATTAAGAAGTTATTTATTGTATAAAATGTTGGGAAAAAAATGATAAATCTTAAAAAAAAAAAATAATAAGTATACTCTTTCCTCCATGGCCAGTAACACTTCTTGATTTTACTCTACTTAATACTTGTCTTAGGGAGTGGGATAGCTCAATGAAAGGGCTCTGATCTTCCAATGCTCGAAGTCCTGAGTTTGAATCTCGGCTCATAGCAGAAAAATTATTTATTCTTTTCCATCAGCTGTGGGGTAACCCTGGGATCAGGAGATCCTCCTGGGGCACACCCAGCCTCTCAAAGTGGGTACTCTTAATTAATTAATTAACTAAGAGGAAAAACTTGGCGATTGAGCGTGATCCCAGTCAAATCACCTCCTTGCACAACCGTTGACTAACAAACAGTAGTTTCGCTAAATAGTACTGAACCCAAGACCCTTCATGGGTTGTATTGGTACATCCCATTTTTTATACTTCTCTTAATTGCTAACTGAGATAATACACATGCTGGTTAGGATTATTTTATTTTTGAGTTGTTTAGTGTAGCTATTGCTGTTCGCCCCTGATTCTGTTTAACATTAAATTGTTTTTGAGCAGTTATTTTGTTTTGGTTTCGAGATTCAACTTCTGACTTAGACTCCTTGCCTTTGGGCAGTCAAATTTTTAACATTCTGCTATTATTTAACTCTGTATTAATAACACTAAACAATAGGATCTGCTTAAAAGGAAAATCATTCCCGAGAGTACACAAATGCAAAACCTTGACTCCACAATAACCTGAATGAATGACCAAGATCAGAAATAGACCAGTATATAACAAGTGCACACGGGGCTTTCTCCTCTTTTTCAAAGGCATTGACATCCCAATAAATGTCTATAAATATCAAATTAAGGGTATATTGCTATGATAGAGCCAGTTCTGACATATAGCTGTAAGAAATGGGCACTAACCAGTATCTTAGAAAGAAGTATTAAAAGATTTGAGAGAAAAATTCTCTACAACTTGACCGGAGTAATTTGGGATCAGAGTATTTACACATGGAGAAGGACTGGTTAAGAACTGCTTACAGAAATTGGTCAATCAATATTTCATGGTATGATGGTCAGGAGCGTAAGATTAAAGGAGCATGTAAAGGCACTATTTCGCTGGTACTGCTCACGGTAGCGACTGCCACCCCATACTGTCTTGCCAACTGTTAATGATTATCTATTTCGCTGAAACTGCTCACTTTCTCAGCCAAATCCTCTTTATTAAGCATCCTAATTTGGAATAAAAATGTTAGTCTTAAATTTAATGGTTTTCATTTGTATTGTAAGGACAGGAATACATATGATGGCAGAGCTTTTATCTTAATTAATTTTCTTTTGGTCTTTAAGTTGAAGTAACAAGGTTATGTTGTGTCTCTACTATAAAATATTAACAATTATCTTGTTATTAATGCCCGCTTTCTACAAAATGATGGTTTCTTCTAATATTTTGAATATCAAATATCAGTTTGAAGATAGAAAGATGGCAAAATATTATTTCAAGAATTGAGGATTGATCACTCATTTTAATTTATTACTTATTATTAGTATGATCATTTCAGTAATAAACATCACATATTCGTAATAAAATCACAGCCGACAATGTTTTAATGTTTTATTATTAGATAATCGGTAAATCAGAACTTTAATTTAACAGGCAATTGATTTTAATGTCGGGATTTAAGTATTTACCTGAGGTTAAAATTTTTTGATTATTTAATTTATTTAATGTTGTTTGGATTTAGATGTATTTGAATACTTTGTCTGTAAAATTCTTTTGTTGTAATAAATTATCTTGTTACTTTAATCTTTAATAAATGATTTATTTAATGATAGCTATGTTTAATTTTAAACAATTTATCATTTAATTTTGTTTGACTTGATGAAAGATATGAAACTGACTTTTATCATCAAACAATGCTCCAATATTATAACATAACCTATAACCGCCGTACTGACAACAGCTTCACTGTTTCGAGAGCGGTCAGAAAGGAGCAGTATAGATATGATGTAAATAGACTGCCAGACAGTGCCAACGAAATAGGCTCCTTTCTATTTCACTAAAGCAGTGCTAAACTGCTAGCAGTACCAGCGAAATAGTACCATAACTCAGAGCAATCCATCAGGTAGCCTCTATACAATGAATGCCTGGCCATGTGGGAGGGAGACCAAAAACCATATGGGTAGATTAAATCAATGAAGATGTTGTAGAGCAGCATGCAGATAACTGATAAGAAATATCCCAAGATAGGCAGTGGTTGAGAAGGCTGTTAAACATTTACAAGGTCTTTAAAGCCTACAAAAAAAAAAAATATATATATATATATTGTTTTTTTTCGGTTGGCGCTACAGACCATATATATATATATATATATATATATATATATATATAACTCTTATTTATGAATTATATCAAAGTTTCATTGACCTCTAATTTTCAAACTTGAGTTTTTAACAAACGTTTTTTCCAATGCAAATTTGTATGAGAATGTTTCATATGCATTGTTACAGTTTTGGTCATTGATTTAAAATTATAGTTTTCTTATTAAATGATAAAATGTTATTATGACACTAAGGAAAAAAAGTTGTTGAGATCCTTAACCATTTTAACGAAGCAAATTTTTATTATTTTAGCAAAGACATATCAGCAAGGAGGGTGAAGAGATGGGCATTTTCTCTCCAGGAGCTGTTAAATGATCCTGTTGGAAGGGAACAATTTGCTAAATTCTTAGATAAAGAATTTTCTGGGGAAAACCTTAAGTAAATATTGAAATCTTGTTTATTTTCTTATAATAGTAATTCTTAAGTGGAAGCCAATGTATAATTTTGAATCATTTATATTTTCCAATTAAGTAATTCGTTACAAATTGTTATCTTGGATTGTTTCCATTGTTATATTACTTATTTTTTATAAGTTCCAGAATTACTATTATAATACCATATTATAGCACTTGCTTATTTAATCAATATTTACTATTTTTCTATTGAGGTAAAAGGTGGAAAAAGATATTTGCTCAAAAAACATGTTCAAAGGAATCATTTTGTGAAATTTTATAAATGATGTAATAGTATATAAAATCAACTTTCATTTGTTTTGTTATTAATTTTAATACCTTGTAGCCAGATGAAAAAACACTTGACTTCAACTAGAAAGTTAGTTGTGTATCGTTAAATAAGTACCTAAGAAGAGATGATCATAAGGGTTATACACCTTTTTTCCATTCAGCATACAAATTATGAATATTTCAAGGGATATAATAGAAAAAAAAGTTACAAATTCATCAAATATTGTTTATTTTGAATGGTTATTTCAACAAACAAACAAATATTTCTGAATCAAATTAATAAAATCTGAACAATTATTTGCACTTACTGAGTCTTTTTTAATGACCTTCGTAAATAGAGATATCAAAGCTACATTTGGAAGCAATTTTGAAACAAAATGTTAGAGGCTTTTTTATCTGGGATATATAAATAAAACTAGGAAAGTTTGAAAGTTTTTATAAACAAAAGTTATCATACTAATTGTAAGTGAATAATGTTGGGATTTCACAAAGAGAAAATTCATCAAATTATTTACTAATTTAATTTTTTGAAAGGTTACTTAATGATTTTTTGGGTGATAAATGGCTGATAGATACCTAATTATTTTAATATAATATCTTACCTTGAGTTAATACTCTATAGTAAATATATTTGAGGTTATAAACATATCTATGAAATATTTTTATATTTCACTTCTCCTTTTAAACAATGGCATTGGCTTGATTTGGTGGATTTTAAATACTTTTTCAAACTTAGAAAAACATTTAAAAGATTCATTTTCGACCTGGATAAGCATTTTTATTTTTTTTTTGTCCTTTTTTCAATTATCAAATTCTTTCAACATTTATATTTAACATTTTTTCGTAACTCTTAATAATGAGAGATAGCTAATTATTTAAAATAAACCATATTAAAAGTACTTTAGAGGAAGAGCTATATGAAAATTAGGCATTTAAGCCCTGTAAAGTGACACCAATGGGGATAAGACCTAAATGATATTAAATACCACTTAATTATACAGTGATACACCGAGTTTAATCAAAATCGTCGACTCAAAATCGATTTTGACTCAAAATCGAGTCATTTTTGAGAAAATTGTACAGTTAGCCGATTTTAAGTTTTAAGATATACATATCTTAAATTAATAATATCAGTTTTGTATGACTTTTGGTTTTTAAGCCAGACTGTTCACATACACAAAGACCATTTTTCGGGACTTGATTATTTGGACTCAGAGGACCTCAAAACGTGTATTCTGTTGAAAACTCAGATTCAAAAATTTTCACTATTGCAATACTTACCTTTACCTTATATTACATAAAAGTAAGTGAAAGTAAAAATGGTGGATCAATCATAGCCTAAACCTTTTATGATTAATATTTCTTTTAAAAATCTGTTGTTATTAAAGTAGTATATCACAACTATGTTGTTCTATATCAATTGTCATCTAATTTATATTTTGAATTTTCTGGATCATTACAATTTTTCTTTGTTTTGTTAAGATTCTGGGAAGCTTGTGAAGAACTAAGATGGTTGCCTCAAAAAAAGGTTTCAGACAAAGTCCTTGAGATTTGGGCTGAGTTTCTCGCACCTGACGCTTCTTGCCCAGTTAACATAGATTCTCATTCACATGACACAACAAAAAAGAACATGGAAAGTCACCCAGATCGCTGGACATTTGATGCTGCAGCTGTATGTTCAAACTAATTCTCAATATAATTAAAAGGTTTAAAATTAATTTATGAGACAATACGTGTATGAGTATCTGTATATTTTTTTCCCCTAGGCTCATGTTTATCACTTGATGAAGACAGACAGTTATTCACGTTACCTTCGTTCAGAGATGTATAAGGACTTTCTTCAAGGCTCCAAAAAGAAGGTAATATACTTATGGTGCATAAAAACTATGGGGAAGAAGGGCACAATGTTTTAGTATCAGGATTTGTATTCTCACTTGTTTCATCTCAACGTGTGTCTTATAATAATCATTTTACCACCTTTAATTCTTTATATTATTTTCTATTCTTACCATTTTATCTAATGTTATAAAGGTATATCTTAATATTGAAATCTAAAAATTTGCTGAAGTGAAAAAATCCTTATAATAGTCAGAAACAGAGTTGTAAGAGAATACTTACTAAGTTTAGCGCAGACCTTTTATAATACAACGCCTTATTACATAGGTAGGAGAATCTTTTTATCATTAGAGGCCACAGTTAAGTTAGGAAGTGCCAATGGAGGTCGCAACAATTGTCTATATTTTACCGTTGCTATTTTTATTTATACACACACCCACATCCATACATTGAACTTAGTTGAATATTTATAGTTGACCGTTGTATTTTAGAGGAAAGAGATGGTCCGGGGTGGCAGTCATAAATAGACTAAACTGGTGGCTAAACTATTTTATTTTAAGCCAACATTTCAACCTCGTATTTTTTTTTTTGTATCCATCAATATCTTCAAATTTTAGATACTGTAATATTCCAAGTTTTGTTTTGCTTTTACTACTTAGCCCCTCACCACTCCACAACCAGGTGAGCAAATTTCCCCAAGGGTATTCTATCCAAACTTTCCAGTTCTAAGTGAAACTCCTTGCTGAACACACCTGTAAGTTTCTATTTTTATTCTTTTAATTTTATTTATTTTATTTTCTTATTTTTTGTTTTTCTTTTCTTTTCACATCCCTTTTGTGTCCATTATTTCATATTATTTATCCTTTTCTTCCAATCTCTCATTGAGATCTGTAGGAGTATATTCATAATTGCATATATTATACTACTTCAATTGTTACCATTTATTTACTTCAGTTTAGGATCTTTTTACGTAGTTTACTTTGATTATTGTTCTTAATATTTCAATGTACTTACTGTTTATAATTTCAATACATTTATTCACCTTGTTTATAATTTTTATCTAAATATTATGTAACTTCCACAACTTTCTACATCCTTTTGTATCTTACCCGTTAAAGACCTGAAAAGTTGGCTTGAAATAAAATAGTTGTGTCACTATTTTACTCTATTTATAAATGACACCCTGAACCATCTCCTTCCATTCAATTTAATTCTATTCATTTCCAAATTTTTGTTACTTAAATAATTAAATATTAATTAATTCTAGCACTAGATTAATAAATATTGCGCTTGAACATTTAGTTAGAGAGAGGCCGCATATGGGCTCCAAGACCACAACTATGTCATAGAGATGCCCTGATCTTAATATTTGTGGTTTTCAAGCTCGATTAAGTCATTTTGTGGGTGTGTCTACAGGGATACAATGACAAGTTAAAGGTTAAAAGCCCCTTTATAGTAATTTTAACTAGACTTCAGGCAAATTCTAATTCATAAAAAAAAAAATTATTTAGTTTACTATGCTGCAATAGGTAATTTATGAAAGTAAACAATTTTTAGTTATCGCTTCCTATTCAACAAGAAATTTGACATAATTAAAAAAAAAACAGAAAACTTAACAACTTCTTGTTACTATTACTTCTAAACATAGTTAATGGTTCATTGCTATCTCTTTGTAGGTGTGATTGGAAATCCCTAAGACAACCAAAAAGGTGACACTGGTTAAATTTTAAATGAAAAATAAAATAAATATATATTTATGAAATTGAATTGTAAATAAGATAAAATGTTTGATAAATTTGATATTTAAAATTTTAAAATAACTGGTTTCACTTTTGTATAGTTAAAGAATTATGTAGAGAATTGTCACATCTAGACTATTGAAGTACAGTGTAATCTCAGTAATTCGAACGTCTGAAATTCAAAATCTCCAACAAAGATTAATAATGAAATGGGGAAAGGAGTGGATGGAAAGTTTTATTCAAGAAAAATGATCACTCCAAAGACCACCTGCCTGTTAGAATTTTCTTTTGTTATACATTAACGCACACTCTTCTTGTGATTATTTTCTGAGACTACTTCATCTTCTTTTATAAAACTAGAATGACATTAAAGGATGAAAATGCAGTGTCTCATTTCAATTACCATATTTGCCAGGCAGCAAAGAACCATATGCCTTCGCATCTTCTACAATATTGTCGTTAGAGAAGATGCAGTGAGGAAGGACTTCTAAAAGTTACTCAAACAAAAATAATGGAGTTCTTTAAAAAGTAAACATTGATTTCTATTCATGCAAATTCAAAATTTTCAAGTATATATCCTGTTGGTAATTTTGTGTGTTTTGAGTTCCAATCTTATTAAAGAAACAAACCTATTGGTACCTTCTTTAGCTATTAGTGATGCGTTCAGATTGCTGAAATTCCACCGTATTTCGTTTAAAATAGCAACATATACATTTCAACAACAAAACATACTATAGAGCTTCTTTTTGTTTTTAAAGAGGAATCATAATATATGACCAAAAAAAATCAGTAAATTTTGCTGAATCATGGTCATGTTGTTACTCATACTTCTTTGTTTATTTATAGACATCCATGAAAGGAATACGATCAATTGTGTCTTTCTCTGGAAGAAAAGATGGAGGAAGTTCTTCATAACTGAATTCAATTTCTTGCCTAGGAATGGAAAATGGTTAGCAACAGATTGTTTACTCAATTTGAAATAAAGTCACTTATGTATCAATTAATTTATGAACATTTTTACTACTTATAGATTTTATTAATTAAACAATAAGCTTGATGCTTGTTGTTCTGCAACAATTTGGTTGTATGCTTCATACAAAAATATATTTTGGTAATTTATGTGTTCAAAAAAATAGGAATAATGATGCCATTTTTTCAATGGGACCTTGAAGTATGTTAAAACTATGGATTTTAGCACTACTTATGTGATTTATTTATTAAATATCAGATTTGTATATGAATTGTTAAAATATTGTGTATATAATGAGGATTTATATATTCTTGTGTTCTGTTGATATAACTAAGTAATATGATATTGCGAAGCAAGTATTGCTTATGTTACTCTTGAGAAAAAATTTATTGAGGAGTTGTATATTTTAGAAAATTTCTGGAGTTTCTGTTTTATAGTATTTTTAGTTTTGTGAAACTTCAATAAATAAACTGTTTTCTGAAAATCTTAAATAACTAACAGAAAAATGATTTCAAACGTAAAGATTTGTTTTGAGTTTTATAATTTTTTCCTATACTGTTTATTTATATTTGGTTAGAGCTGTTTTGGTTATTTACTAGTATTTTATTTACCATGTAAAATTTCTATTAATTCAATTACGTATGTAACAATAATGACTTATATTGGTGGTGTTTTATAAATTGATTTTGAAATGCGTAATAAGTTAGCGAGATCTTATGAAATTGTTGGCATTGTAAAACAAAAGTGGAACTTAATACCTTGAGAGTATTGTTAATCCTTAATGAGAATAATTTATTTGATGACATAATTAAAAACTAATGGAATGACTGGCTTGGAAATGGCTCTCTAAAAAACTGGAAGTTAGTTTTTTATGAAACAGAAAGTTATTTTTACAAGTTGGAAACAAGGAAGTAATTATATTTTTGGTCTAATGTCACCTCCCTCTCCCAGGTCTAAAGCTTCTCCATTTTATGGCTAACTAAATAACCATAACTAAACTATCATAATTTATTTTTCATTTTACTTTCAAAGAATTAATTCAAAATAATTGCTGAATCTATTGTCCTGTAAACATAAATAATATAGCAGGTTTGGTGAATCATGGCTCTTTGAATGTGATGAATGCCTCGGTAGTTTATGTCCAAAATAAACTTAGTTTTGCTTTACCCCCAGCATTCACCTTTATTCACCACCAGAATTACTCTCCCCCCCTTATAGAATGTTTTCTATCCTGGGGTTGCCTCCATTTTGTTTAATTTGTTATTTTTCACTATTTATGTATTTAAATTAATTATGTTTTTGTTTATTGATTTCTGCAAGTTGTATTTTTTAAATAGTGTTCCCATTATTTTTTAATTCTGTTATCTCTTAAATTAAGGGAGCATCTTCCTTTTCACAACAGAAAAGAGAACGTATATTTAGGAAATTAAAACTATTTCAAACCTGGACGATTTTGGCACTATTTTATTTATCTGATTTAATTATAATCAAAACACCTTAACGATTACTGTGAATAATTCATGATTGGTCTCGTTTTGATTGTGATTTTTTTTATGAGCAGTATTGTTCTTAAGACATGTTTATTTACGGATATCAAGTACTAAAATTTCCTTATGGCTGACATGCCAGTTTTTTAGAAAGTAGAATTCAGCCCAACTGCTGATAAGTCAGTCTGTACATGACCTGCAATATAGCAGGAATAAAAGTGAAAATTTTAAAAATATATATTAAATTTACCTTTACCCACTTTGTTCACCAACTATGTTTTATTGCTATAGGTTTAGTGTTTGTTACATTGTAGTTTCGTCGAATAAATACCTTATACTTGGATAGGAAATACATTATGGAATATATGAGCTGTATTCAGATATCACAAAAACCATTTGTTGAATTATTGGAACTCAATTTTTAATTTTTCACCCAAAAAATATCTTGTCATTTAATAATGAAACAGTGTATTAGAAATTTTCCATTTTTGGGCTATAAATATATAGATATTTCTTTTAAAAATAATATTTTAATCTGAACAATTGATAAATATATTATTTTTAACACTTTTACAACTTCTATACTCCAAGTCATTAGAGCCGACCTTAGGGCTGAGCAATAGCGTCGAGGCGCCAGTGCAGGTACGCTGCCACGTGTTAGGAATTAAAAATAAATAAATAAAAATCATATGAGAATATAAAATGTTAACCTATCAAAACCACTGAATTAAAGACATATATATTGAATGAAATAAAATGATAACATTACTAATTTAATATAAAGCTGCTAAATAAATAAATTAAATTCTCTGGGGAGAGATGATGTCATTACTACAAACCATTAGTGTATATTTTTTTCCTATTAATTGCCTCAGTTTGAGAATATCTTAATAAGTATTTGTTTTTATAAACAGTAAATTTGAGAAGAAATCAAAATTAACAACAATAGTGTAAGTAAGAGTTTAATTTTACTTCAAAGTCAATGAATTTTTCAGGGACCAGGGCAAATGCAAATTTTGTCAATTTATAATATGTAACATTTCTGTGGCATGAGGTCAGTTTTAAAAATATATATTCATTCTTTTATTATCAACATCCATTGCTTGTTTTTAAATATATTATTTTTACCCATGTTTGTTTTTATTATTCTTGAACTTCAATATTACCTAAATATTATAATGTAACCCAAAAAATTAAATTCCTTTTATAGAATGGATTTACTTTCAAACATTCTTTTGAGGGACACCTTTTCAAGTATTCTTAGTCATGTAAAGTAAATTGAATTTTACTCCAAATTATATAAAAAACAATGTATTAAAATAAATAAATCAATTCAACTTTTATCAACTATCCAAGCTGTCAAATAATTGTTTTTCTGATCATCATTTTGATAAATGAATGCAGTAGTTTCGTAACTTTTTGCTTGCTCACACATTAACTTATAATTTGATCCACAATATGAATAAGAGTAAGAATTTCATTATTGATAAATAACTATCAGTGTATATGTTATTTATCTTTCATTGGTGTGAAAAATAAATTGAATTTGTATTTTCTATTAGATTAGATTATTTACTGACATTGATTCTTTTTAATTCTTTATTATAGTTCACCCACATTTAATGGACAAATAAACAAAAAAAAAAATCATTTTTTCTCTCCTTTTTTGGAGTTAGATTGAACAGAAAATTCAGTTGTTTTTTAATAGAAAAAAAAATCTGTTCTTTCAACCGCTAAATTGCTAGAAGTTTTGTTCTATTCGTTTTCTTTATTTTTGGTGGTTTTTGTGTCATTTTAAATATAAAATGGTAATGAATAATTAGTTAAGGAGAAACAGTTTACCATTGATACACTAGCTACTAGTCTTATCTTGTACAGATTTGTTTTCCCTTTGAAGATCTACAAAGCAGATTAAAATTGTAAGCACATATTAGCATATAAAAGGTATTTCATTTCTAATTCAACCCCCCAACCATTATCTGAATAATTCGTTCTTTGAAGTTGATTATGGGTTACATTAACACCAATTTTAATAGAAATGTGGAAAAGCTATATTGTTAAGTACTAATTATATACATTTATATATTGGAAATTCAATTCAAAGATTCTTTGTTGTGAATGAGACCTCTGCCACAGAAAAATTGATAACTTTCCCAATTGATTATTTTGTCGCACATGTCAATTAATGGCATTGTTTTAATTAGTTTATTCACAAACATATTTTTATTACAATATATATTGTTAGAAACAGAATAATTTAAATGATTTACTGTCAATTACTGACTTTGAAACTGCTGGTTGTTCTTGTAAATATATTCTGTTTCAGTACTTTGTTTCTTGTAAATTATTGAATATTTGATCAATGTAATATTGTAAGCTTTGGATTTTTATCATAAAATCGATTGGATAACAGATAACCTGTTAAATACTGTAGCTCCACCCTGATAGATTGTACCAGATTCAATTGGTTATAGAATTATTTAGGCACTATTGCAAGAGCATATTTTAGATGTGTTAAGTATTACATTATTGAATATGTATTTAGGGTTTAAAACTGATGTTATGAAAAAAATTGTCATGTAATTAAACATTCGGAACACAGTTATGGTAGTAGTGTAGTTGTATATAGAATTTTATACAGATCAAAAAGCATTTTACAAATTGTGATGCCAGAAGTTGTTTAGATTTTATTTAATTATGACGCTGAAATTTTGTAATAATTTAATAATGATATTTATTCATATTTACATAATTATTGCGAATTAAACTGAGGTTAACTATCTCAAAGTGATGTTTAAAGATCTCGTTAATGCTAATCGTTAAAACAATCTTGACTTCTACTCAAAGTGTTAAAGGAGGTGAAGAGAAAGATGGTCAATTGAAAAATGAATTTGTCTTTACCTCCCCATAAGAAGACTGTAGGTGAAATGTATTTGCGACGAACAAACCGGAATTACGTATAGTTTATGTAATCCTAGTTTGTCAAAGTGTCCAAATCAAAGCAGAATTATCTGTCCTATATTAATATTATAAACTTAATAAAAAATTAAAATTAAATATAAAATAGTAAAACTCAAATGCGGGTAAGTTTGCCTTTTGTCAGTTTGTTAATTATCAAAAATAAAATTAATATAGCTAATCTATTTAGTTAAGTGTTAAATGTGAAATGGATTTTTCATGTTTTATCAAATTCGGTCGACCAAGAGATATGCATTAACTTTTAGCTTGACTTTCTTTAGATGATATACAATATGGTAATATGCATTGGAAGGCAGAGGAAGATTTGACACCACTAGGGTTAGATAACTTTAAGATACCAGAGGATTAAGATACTAGAGGTTTTCAATCTCCTGATTGCATTAAAATTTAAACTAGATATGAAATTTTTTTTCTGAAATAGCTAAGTCTGGCTGAAATGTTGAAGAATTGTCGAGTTGTGATGACTGAAAAAAGCTTTAACTTCACTTTTTTGTGAGTAATTGAAAGTTATAAACATAAGTGAGTTAAAGATTGAAAATCACTGGTTCGTTTTAATGTAAATGGCTAGAATTGTAGATAAAACTTGTGATTTGGTTTATCCATAAAATTTAAACTTAGATGTATCATCTTTTGATTGTATATACTGCCAATTAATAAGCTAAAAAGATCAACAAAGTTTCAATGACCTTATTTTTGTTTTACTATATTAATTGAATAAGCATTTTTATTAATAACAAATATATATTCAACACAGACATGTATTCTTATATCTTATTAATTGTTAGATGAAAGATGTAAAAGACACTATAAGTAACCAAACTTTTAAGTAGATGATTATGATTATTTCAAAATAAATGAGTTCCCACCTTTTAGAGATTTACTTATCTAGATATACTTTATTTTTTTAAGTATTTGAAGGTACTATAACAAGTTTTCAAATATACTTTTACCTCCAAATCATCTAGCTAATGTGCTGAGAATAAAGTGAAATGATTAAGTTAAAGTTAGTATATTTTCAAAAATATGAGACATTTATTTTTTTTTTTCATCTGTTGGCTTTACAGATCTCTCTTGATTTGATCTATCCATTTTTTTATTGATTTATTGCAATAATTACTACAAAGAAACTTATATAGAAAATTATTCACCAAAACCTATTATCAGCTTAGCTTCTTGCAACTTTAAATCCTTATTTATTTAACTTCATACTATTAATTGAATTTTATTTTTGAAAAATTCAAATGTTTTATGTAATTGACATACACACGACTTTTAAAAAAATCATTTAATATAAAAGTTACCTCTTGTCTCCCTTCAAAACGAATAAAAAGTTGTTTTTTTTATGTGGTTTGCTTTATGCTCCAACATACCTGTTAGAAGGAAGGGGTTACTGACCAACTTATCTATAAAACTGTTAGGAGATGAGTTAGAAGTTAGCGTTAAATAACATGCACGGGGCAGTATAGGACTTCAGTGGGAGTCTTGGGCCGACTTCATGAAAAAAAAAAAATAAAATAACATGCAAAATGTAAAAGTTAAGTCATATCTTTGAGGGGGTTCTTATTCAGTATGGCACTTCTTGATAATTTAATTCATTATTATCTGGTAGTTTTGAGTACAAATTTTAAGGTAAAACTATAACTATAAGTGAGACGTGATGGTATGAGATTTTATTGATTTATAATGTAAAAATAAATAGTAACTATGTTATTAATATTTACAGATAATTTTGGCAAAAAGCAGTTCTAAGAACTTTTAAACATGGAATGTCACTTGTTGAAAAATGCTTAATATTCTAAAGAGATGATTGAGGAGGCTGTCTTCGACCAGGGCCTGCAAGAGGGCGATTTCTTTCATCCCATATTGTTACTCCATCACAGGCACAAATTTGCTTAGCGTTTTCAAATAACCCAGCAGATCTCGAAATAATACCACAAGCCAGCCTGAAATAACATTTTTCTTTAATTATTAATTATTTGAAATTAAATAAACTGCCAAATATAACTGAAACATTATTAGCTCTAATTGTATCACAATAAGATTATATTGTATCTTTTGAATAATCAGAGGTATAATCAACAAAAAAGTGTATACTTTTTGAGTAATTCGCAGATAAATTTTCTTTTCTTTCATTACTTTTTTGCCTGAATTTTCGGCGTGAGTAGAATATTTTTCCCACCTGAAGGAAATCTGATAAATGACGGCTCAATTGTTGGATTTGATGAAGGATTAACAAAGAGAAGGTCTGCCAATAAAAAAACGTCTTTGATAAATAATATAAACTCCACTTCTCTGTATCATAGGGACCTCAAGTCGATGACATGAGACATGTATATCATGGCAGCACTACAATTAACGTGAGGTTGTGTGGCTGCGAACCCTTTACCTTGCATCATCTCAAAAATGGTACATTGATTGGCTTGATGTTCGCATCTTCAAATCCTAATATGTCCAGTCTCAATTCATCAACTTACAACCGTCCCAGTATTGAAGCCTATCGAAACATTTATATCAACTTTATTCATTGTAGATAGAAAAAGATTCGCTAACCACCCGTGAAATTCTGAATCCAACGATACCCAATTTATGTGATTTGAGCATGACAGGAGTTAATAATATATGTGGGGATTCTGTTTATTATTTCAATTATAAAAAAGATAACTGATTAAATTATGCTTAATTTAAAATGACAACTGTTTCATCAGCGTTGTAATAAGTTTTAAATCCAACACCCACCCAATCAAATTTGTCAAATCGTTAGAATGAATATTAAAGAAAGCAGATACAGCACAATGTTTCAATAAAGGGAATGAAACTAGTTAGGATTTCACAACCAGCATTAACTTAAACCAATGAGAAAATCTCACAAATGACAATCTAAAATGATAAAAATAAAACATTAGTTGATACATATCTGCATTTGTATCAAATTTTTTGTTAGATTATTATTACGACTCATAAATATTTAGCTTGATAATAAAAAAACCTAATTGAGATGAACACAAATAGATGATGTAAGTAAAAAATAATTCTAGAATGCAAATGATCAAATATGCAATACACAATGGAAAACAAAAATACTTAATAAATCAGAACTATGGTTTAAAGTACTTGAAAAAATTTACCTAAAAAGAAAAGCAAGCAGTTTTGAGGGCAACCAAACCAATCATAGAGGCATAATATATTTTTAAAAAATGATGAAATCTGATGAAGTTAAAAATATTTCATCTATCATAATGCCATGTCATATGATATTAATGTAATAAAGATATTTTTATTTGAAAAATGAAACATTTGATATCAGACATAATTAAAATGTAAAGGATATTAGATAAAAAATATAGAATGGACCACAAATGGCCTCAAATTTAGTAATGTATAATTTTAAAAATGTAGGCTTCTCCTTAACATGCGAAAAATAGTCCTATCCCTCCGAAATTTCATGGAAAAAAGTTATGGAGGAAAAGAAACTTTATTTGCGAATAACCCAAAAAGTATGCATTTTTTTCTTGATTGTACCCATGATAGTTAGAAAGATTAATAAATTACCTACAAAAAAAAAAAAAAAAATTATGAAAATCGGACAATTATTAACAAAGATACAATCCATTAGTAGTTTTGGTATACTTAATGTGATGTCTTCCTGATTAAAGATACTGCATTTAGGAGTAGAATAGTCAACTACATTTTTTTTCCTGGCTTTTATATTAACTTTATTATTTCTTAAAGACATTTGGTTGTTCTTACATATTATTTTTTTTTTTAATAATTTAGAATATCATATGATCAGGGTATTATTTTGCCTTTATTACTTTTATTATCTTTCCAGTCAGCGTTTAAAAATAGGTCCTAGCAAAGCAATATGTACAAATATTTTGGTCTATTATGTTTAATGGAATATTGTACTTGACTAAGAAAAAAATATTAATTCCTTCCTTACATAATACATAAGAACTACTTCTCTCCATATTGTTTTGTTATTTCTTTACTAAACAAAATTTTCTGCGAATTTTTCGCACGGGCCAACTAGTATTACCCATTAGGGTAAAAGAAGAGTCAATACATAGTATTACAAATTTTGGATTTTCATACTACAATTACATGTCAAGTTTTTTATTGCATTTTTTTTCACTGCACAGAAATATTTTCTCTTAAATTTATTATTGTTATAATTTTAATAACCAAAGTTTTAATGAATATTTTTTAATACCTTTCACCAGAAGAACCATTGATCGATGATAGTTTTGAAAAACCTCTTCCGTAATCATCTTCATTAGATGTGACTACAATACTCCTGCCAATTATATCCCATACTTTGACCTGTCCGTCTTCAAGCCTAAAAACAGCACGGCCAGTTTCATCGGCTTCAATATTGCCAAGGTCACCAGTATGCTAAAACAAATCAAATCAAATGTTAGCATTTATATTAATGATGTAGTAATTAAATGAATTTAAACACAGAACAGTATGAGACCCATAATTAATTATTTCAGTCCTAGATAATAGGTTTGGTCATATTTAACTTTCCCTAACATATAAGGAAAAAAAAAATAAAAAAACCTGTTCCACTACAACCCATGAAGGTTCTTGGATTCAGTACTATTTAGGGAAAGTACTGTTTCAAGGCCATAGGTTGTGCAGAGAAGGGATCGGGCCAGGATTACGCTCAACCTCCAAGTTTTTCTCCTTAATTAATTTTATAATTATGGTAACCCATTTTGTAGAGGCTGGGTGTGCCCTAGGAGGGTTTCCTTACTCCAGGGTCACCTCACAGCCAATGACGCAGAATAAATAAATTTTCTGCCATGAGCCGGAATTCGAACCTGAGACCTCGGGCATTGGAAGCTTAGTGCCCTACCTCTGAGCTACCCCGCTTCCCTTACATATACCTCACTTAAAACTGCTAGCAGTTAATAAAATGGCTTGCTTTTATACCAACTATAAATTTTGTTTTGAGAAGGAGTTAGTCGAGGGTGCGGTCAAATAAATAAAAAATTAAAATATATTAATTATTTTAATTTTTGCCGACGTTTTGACCCACTTTGCAGGTCGTCTTCAGGGCGTAGGATGTGGCACTGCGGGAGGCAGTTGAAACACTGGCCTGTCTTCAGGGCGTAGGATGTGGCACTGCGGGAGGCAGTTGAAACAATGGCCTGTCTTCAGGGCGTAGGATGTGGCACTGCGGGAGGCAGTTGAAACACTGGCCTGTCTTCAGGGCGTAGGATGTGGCACTGCGGGAGGCAGTTGAAACACTGGCCTGTCTTCAGGGCGTAGGATGTGGCACTGCGGGAGGCAGTTGAAACACTGGCCACACCCTCGACTAACTCCTTCTCATATCAACGGTCAACCATCTCTACATCATTATAAATTTTGTTAATTATTTTTAACATTAATATTTTTAATAAAAATAATAATTTGTTCATTTTTTAATAAAAATAACAATTTATTTAATTTGAAGAAGATATTTCTATCACGTTATAATTCATACTATATTCACATTTTAATGTCCTAACTTGATGAAAAATATTTTTTCATGTACTCTGTTACTTCTAAATACTTACAAAGCATTAATTCTTGTGCTTATCAAATGTTTGCCTCTGTAAAAAAGATACATAATTTTTTTTTTTTAATTTTGTTTAATAGAATTATTTATCCTGTCAGTTTGATTATGATAGTGGTTTTTAACTTTCAGAAGTTCAAATAACTCTACTTATAAGAAAAGTTAAATGTTGTTTACAGAAAAGAATCATAAGCCAACATTATTACTATGTCCAGGTTTTATACAGTGGGTTCTGAATAGCCCAAATTTTCATTCTAGAACACTATAATTTACATATATGCATAATTGTTTTACTGAGACACCATGATTAAATGAGACTAAAATTATTTTTGCTTTAATTAGTTCAAAAATGTCTTGATTTCGCTTGCTTAAGTGATAGATAAACTTCCAATGGGTCCTTTTCAGTTCAAATTGGAGGATTATCAAAAAGGGGTACTTTTTATATCTACTTGAGAGTAAATGTAATTCCCATCATAGATATAATTTTCATCATCAAATATCAAAACAGCATAAATTATTTTAGTAACCCAATTAACCAGGATAGAGATCTCAATGAATTAATCAGATCTCAAGAAAAAGAATTATTCCATAGAATTGTTCTTAGATTGAATAAGATAAGGGTTTTAAGTCTGAAATAACTTGGTAAGTACTTTATTTAAGTATAAGTATTCACTACTGAAGTTTATAAGACTATTTGGGACTATATTGGAGTAGGGTTCCGCACCATTTAAAGTGAAAACCATAGTACAGCTCATCACAGTCTGGAGGCTTACCAATCGAAAATAGCGCATAGGACATGCTGCATCAAAGCTGCACCCCAAGATTTAAAGCAAGATACACTAAATTAAATTCATAGATCTTACATATTTATTTATTTTCTATTTTATAACAAAAGTGACTCTGATCGTTATAGTTATAATTGTACGTTTCTAGCCTTCTGTGATGAAAACATATTGATGATGTTTTTAAAGTCAGTTTTGTCTTTTTCTTCTTGCTCGCCACTGAGGAGCAAAGCAAGATTACATTAAATTTTTTTATATTTTTTGCAGGTTTTCCGCTTTTATGACTTAATTTTTCAATATAAAGACTTCGAATTGTTTTGTAGGGTAGGGCGAGTATATCCGTAATTTCCTAGAGAGCTTTACAGGTACTGTGGCATCCGGGTTTCCTCGCACTCATTCATCAGTGCTCATCAGGTACAGGAATTGCGAGATTATTTGAATGTAGGTTGTATCATTGGTTTAGTTAAATTTTTAAGCTTAATACTGTGCGAATTTTGTGTTGCCCTTCGAATGGTGCCCAGGACTCCTACTAGTTCTACCTTGGATACACCACTGCTGGGGAATGTATTGAAATAAGTTTTCTATTTAAGAGAATAAATGTTTAGAGTAACTAAACAAATTAATTAATATATATATTTCAACCTTGTTGATCAGGATTTAATTGTAATAATAAAAAAACACATAACATTACAATAATCCTCTTCATCCAACATTTCAGTCCTTAGGCCATTTGTTTTTATATTCTGTCCTAAAGAAGGGCTTCATGTGCGAGTATGGAAATTACAAAGGCAAATCATTTTTGTTGCCAATCAGCAACACCAAATTACCAGAATAACAAATATAAGACATATTCATATTATGAAAATACAATAGGTGATCATCATGCAGGATACAAAAGAGGAAGGGTACAAGAGACCAGATATTCCTCTAAAAAAACAGTCTAAAAAGAAGTAGCTCAGAATATGCGTGCCTATACACTGATTTTAAGGTAGGCAGTAATTTGTGGATAGAAACTATCTTTGAAAGATCACGACTGAAAGCTAGTTGTTCCCATAAAATTCGAGAGATCGACGAAGGTGTGAACAAATGATAGTAGATTTTGAACCTTGGTACAAGGAATACTTTTCGATCACATTTGAGAAAGGATGGAATCTCTCTAATGCTCCAACAACATTGTGTAAAAATTGGGTGATACATATCATAATAAATTATAAAATCCTAGAATATGCAGATAATTTAGCTATAATACAAAAAAAAAAAAGTCAACAGGACATAGAGAGATTCATTAAGATTTTTATAAGAAAAATAAAGCAAATCTGCCAACAACTTAATAAAGATTAAACAAAAATAATAATAAGCATAAATAGAGCTTTCTCATCTCTTTCAGCGGAATTGAAATGCTACGATAAGGGTGTTATAATAAACAGCTTACAGATACCTGAACTCTCACCGGCAAGCAAAGTTGACAAAGAACCATGTGAAAGAAATAAAACAAGATGGATAGACAGAATCAACAAACGTACAACTGGACTATATGCAGCAAACTGCAAATCAGTCGCCCAAGAAAGGCAGAGGGGAGTCATGAATATTTTAGTGAAAATATATAGAATACTACATACCCTCTTTCCAGGTTCATCCTGAGGACCACCATGACATCCTCCACTCAAGTCAAAATGGTCACCAACACTAAAATAATAAAATTTTATTAATTGAAAATGTGTATACGTAATGTTTCAGTTAAAAAAAGAGATAACAATTTATAAACATTCCTCTTTGCTAGTGAGGAATCATTTTATTAAAAACTATAATAGTAAATACGAGTTGTGTTAAAAAAAGTAATGATAATTTTAATCTTTTGAAAACAGTTTTATTAATTCATCTACAACAATGTTATTATTACCTTTAAAGTAGCAGAGCAACCATATTGTACTATAAACTTACTCCAGCATTTCTTCCAGTCCTCGATCTTTGGAATAGCATTTAGCTCTCTTGGCAATGTACTTTTAATCTCATTTATGCTTCGAAAACTATGATCTTTTCAGTTAATTTTTATTTTGGGAAGGAGGAAAAAGTCACATGAGACCACATCTCCATACTCACCTGATATGGTTGGTATATCTTAACAGCATTGTTTTTCACCAGAAATTCACGAACAAGCAATGAAGTGTAAGCACAAATTTTGTTGTCACACTTTTCATATCCAATCATCCAAACAAAAAAAAAAATCATGGCATGAGCCAATCAATATACCAACTTCTCTGATAGTTATTCGGCGATCATTCATAACCATTTCTTTTACTTATTTTCCCATTTTCATCAGATATTGAGGGTATCCGGAAAGCTCATCCTCATTAATGTCTTCACAGCCACCTTAGAAATGCTTATACATAACAAACTAACCAAAATCAATGTTCTTTTTGATAATGAATAATGTTTAATGTGCAAGGTTAAGTCAGCAACACATGGTAGAATAGTAGGCAGGAAACAAACTTAATTTGTTGAAATTGTAACAGTTATAGTTATGATGTGATGGAGGTCATCATTTGCACAAGATTCTCTCTTCAAATTGATTGAAAGCTTTGCTATTTTTTATTCTGTTTATAAAGCAGAATTAGTTCTAATTTTCCAATACAATAAAAAATAAAAAATTGTGAGCTTGTCATGCTCTCTCAAGGAATAGACCCACAAGATGTCTTTTTGGAGGGATTAGCAGATACCGTTATTTTTAAGGCCAATATACAAATATATTAACCTTCCTTCTTTCTATTGAGTTTCGTACTATTTTACTTGGAATATTCTCCTTATTGATGAGTAAATATTTCAATTAACCATCCTGGGTTGATCGATATAAAAATTTTAGACTAGACCAAATAACAACCCATTGGGCATTCTTTTCATTCCATCAAGGTTCGTACTGCTTAGCTTAAAATATTCTTCTTATTATAAACTGTCCAAATCAACTACATTCACTGAAATAGGTAATCACTACTCTGAGAATTAACTGAATCAATTGTATTAGGAAGCATAAGTGCTATCTACATTTTATTGCCACCAAAGATGTTATATATTGGTCTAATGGCTATGGATATCGGTCGATATTGATAATAAGCCAAAACAGTGACAGATTCCACTGTACAAATGTCAATTCGCTGAAAGAATAGCCAAGTTCACAGTATAATCTCTCCTTATTTAGATGATGATTTAGGACTTCATTAAATTCTCTACTGGTCCTATTCAGTTAATATTGGTGCGCTAAGTAGCTTTAATTACATTGCTATTTTCGACATTTTATAAAGGGATAAACAAACCCCCAAAGAGTACTTTTTAGTGGAGGTCAGGGCCTTATCAGACAGTTCAGTCATTTCTGTCATTCCATTTAAGGTTTGATTAAGACCATCTTGTGCCACCAATGAAAGTGAAGTGATAACTTTACACTGGTACCGTGTGATATACCAATATCAATATAGATCAATCCCTATCCTTTTTAATTGAGGAAATGCCTTACCAAGATCAGTCGTTCCTGTATGGTTTTGGACACACTTGCCTCCTTTAAAGAATCGTAAGTAAATGTCATCGATGTGAAATTTAGTTTATTGTCATTTTCAATCATCATTACTTTACCACTTGAAAAACTTACAGATAATTGGCTTAGTAAACATATATTAAATGCTAAGTTAATCATCATTGTTAAATTAAAAATTACCTGTCACAACCTTGTGAAATATCCCCACATTCATGAATATGAAGACCATGGTATCCTGTTGTCAACCCATCAATGGTACCATCAATAACACATACATCATCATCTGCTTGAACAAATCGAACAACTCCCTTGATCAAGTTTTTACTATATCCAATTGGATAACCCAACATGGCTACAGCAGCAGTTGTTACATTGTCTCCTCTGTCTCTACTTTTAACTTAGAACAAGTATTCATAAATTATTCTAAAATTATAAAAGTAGGAGTATTCATAATATTCCTAAAAATAAATTATATCACAAAATGTATACCTAATTTGCCTCCGTAACCCTTTAATACTGCAGTATTTCCATTTGACTCCAATATTTGTTGAATGACAGAAGAAGGCAAGCTAGATTCCACAAGAACTGTACCCTTGTCATAAGAGACTTCCACACCTGTTATACCTTCTACATCCTTTAAGGAAGCCTTTATTTTCTCCACACAGGAATGACATTTCATTTGAACAGCATATTCTGCCTAGATCATTTAGTTGTAGTTACTATGCATTACAGCTTCCATCAAAAAGGTAATGAAGTTATTCAAATTGATACTTACAACTAATGACATTGTTTGAAATTCCGAATTACTTTAAAAAACGAAAGTGATAACTATTATCATATGACAATTCTCTATTGACTCATCGTGACTAGCAAACACCGGGGAATACAAGGAATTACTTATCAGTACTGTGACAACTATAAATCGATTTATCAGTAAGTGGTTATCAGGTATTTCAATAATTGAAATTTAATTACACGTTCAGAAAGAGTTGAGATCATTAAAAGTAGGTAGGTTTTTGAAGTAGGACTCACTGTTTGTTTGGGTGGATAAAAAGAAGTAAACATAATGTATTCAGTGATAATTTTATTTCCATTTTGTTTTATTGTTACTCTATTGCTATCTACGCACACCTTTATATACATATACATCTAAGTACATTTTTTATGTTAGGTATTTATTATTTGTGCTAATTAGTCTCAGAAGTTTTGGCAAGGATTGAATAGAAGTCCTAAAAACTTAAATCAAAATTAATTTTCTTCCATTATTTTGTATTAAATAATGATATTAAAAAGCAAACTGAAAGTGCTTCTTTTCTGCCATTTGTCTTTTTAATTCCTCAAAATACCCTTAATGTTAACTTGTCAACTCGTCGTTAACAATGTCCGCTTACAAAAAACCTATCATATTTTCCAGTTTTATTAATAGGTATTTAGTACCTATGTATATACGTATATATATATATATATATATATATATATATATATATATATATATATATACACATATATGTATGTCATTTATAAATGTATAATGCCCGATTTTTGTCAAAGTGCCACAACTTAGCCTAGGGTATTCTTAGTCAATGACGAGTGCACTATCTTTATGTCGCCTTATAACGGAAACTTAGTAATAGTAATGGTAAAGTTGCATGACTGACCGGGCCCCAGGTTTAGATGCGATTGATGCGGCAATGCTCAAGAATAGTATTCTCTATTTAGAGAATAGGCTGTTTGCGATTCTCAACGACTGCCTAGATAGCATTGGTGCGGGGGGATACTTTCCAAGAAGCTGGAAAATTGCTGATGTCAGACTCTTCTACAAAGGAAGAGACAAGGACAAACAACTTGCCAAATCATACTGGCCTATTTGTCTCCTCCCTGTAATGAGCAAGGTATTGGAAAACCTGATGGTCTTGAGCCTTCGGCCAGTCTTATCAAGATCGAGCCATCCACGGCAATATGGATTCACTAAAGGCAAGGGAACCGCAGATGTCATATTGCGAGTACGTCATAATGTAGAAGAAAGAGCGGAGAGGTATGTTATGCTTCTCCTGTTCGACATATCCTCTGCATTTGATACACTGTGTGGTGGCCGAGTGTTCTCCAGCAACTTAAGAAGAATAAAAGTCCCAGTAACCTGTATGACCTAGTGAGAAGCTACTTTCAGGACCGGACATTGAAAATTAGGGGCTGATTATTTGAAGTAGAAAACACCATCGAGAGGGGCTGCCCGCAGTCCATTCTGGGTCCTGCCTTGTGGAAACTAGTCTTTGATGAGTTGCTGGAGAAGCTTGAAGAGGAGCGGTTTCCTACCACGGCCTAAGTTGGCGATTTGGCCGCTGTGGTGGCCTTAAACAGCATAGCCAGTCTGAAAGCAGAAGCTGAACGAACGTTTGATAGGAAGATGGCGCGAGAGGAAGAAGTTGAAGATGACTGCAACAAAGACCAAGGCAATTCTCTTTAGGACCACGACTGACAGGGCGCATAATATTATGTTGAGTATAGAAAAAGAAAGAATATGCCCAAGTGAGGTTGTCACCTACCTTGGCATAAAAATTGGTCGGAAGTTCAACGTGACTCCTCATCTGGACTATATGAGAACTAGAGTCACAGTGGCCCTAAATGGACTCGGTCGTGTTGGAGGCGCCTTCTGGGGTCTCACATAGCCAGCTACAATAACTATACAAAGGAGCAGTTTTGGGTATTCTAAGATATGCGCCCCCTAGCCTGGAACCTAAACATCTCGCACGGATGGAAGAGTAGGCTAGCATCGATTCAGAGATTAGTTTTACTTCGGGTCACTAGGGCCTATAGAACGGTATCTCATGAGGCAGTGCAAGTACTGGCAGGGGATACACCTCTCGATCTCCTCCTGCGAGAAGATTATTACCTTTTTAAAATGAAAAGAGAAGGTTCGGCACTGCCTATGAGGCACTAAGAGCTTAGCTCCTGAGATAGACGGGGACATATGCGCTGACAGAGAGCATATTCCCACAGCTAATGAGCGGAGAGAATTACCCACATTATAGGGAATTCGTATACGGGTGGAAAGATGCTGTAGGTCCTACAAATTTTAATCTGGGAAGAAGAGAAGGAAGTTAAGACAAGCTGTAGTTGCTTCGAGGACCGACTTCATGTGGAAAAATGGAGAAAAACAAAAGCGTGGGCTTGTGCACACATCACAAGCCTAATAGTAAGTAGACCTATACTGCCAACAGTGGCATACGTATACTGCGTAATACCCCAGTGCTGCTACAACCCGTATTGTCTGTAAGGCAAATGCAGCGAGAAAAGAAAATAGGTAAAGTTGCACATTTCACAAACTATGGGGTAAACAAATCTATAAATGGTTATTTCATTATGCTAGTATTTTTCACTATGTTCCATCCACTTTCGGTATCATGAGAAATAAAATAAATAGTTTAATTTAGCAATAATGGCATTAGTTGAGTTAGATAATTGTGTTATCCATAGCTTGCGAAATATCTTAACACAGCTTAAGATTCTATCGTTGCTACAGTTAATGTTAAGATGAATGGTGTAAAACTAAAAATTAATTCCCTCATTTCTTATTTTACAAGATATTGTCAACTAAATGAATTAGTATGCTGTTTCATTTGGCAACCCAACAAAGTTGAGTAGCATTACAATTTTATTGTTGTTCTCTTTGCTAATAATTATTACTATGATTTATTAAAATTAAGAAGTCATTAGGATATTAAAAACATAAAATTTATTTTGTTTCATAAATATAATGCATAAATATAATAGTACATAAATATAATGAGACCATACTGGACAGAATTTGAGAATTGAATGTGAGCAAACGAAATTCCTTTACAATTCAACAAACTATATGGATAGTTGAAACTGGAAGACAGTCAAAGAGATGTTGACATTTTGCTTTTGTTAAACTATCTCTATTTAAATTTTATCGTTATTAAGTTAGAAATGGTAAAAGATATAATTTTTGGTGAGAGACCCGCATAAATTATCTTCCTCAAATTCAAGATGATGATATTGGTGACTTTAGTACAATTATTGGCATTGTTGAGGCTGAATATGGATCTTGAGTTTTGAGGCTCCCGCGTCCTTTATTTATCCCTAAGGATGTTACATTAATGATAATTCTAACATCCATATTTTAGAATTTGATATCGTTATTAAAATGAAAATAATGGAAACGATACTTTATGAATGAACAGTTGAGGATTAGTAGAAAAGAGATAAATGTTAATTTTTTTTTTTTATGTTGAATAATATGGGATGCATTTATGATTCCATTCCAATTAAATGAAATAATCTTGAAATTACGAATTCTTTCTGTAATTCCTTTTAAATTCATATTTAGTTTCATGAAAGTTACTGTATCTTCATTTACATGCCTACTTCTCTTTAGATCGATTAACGTAGATACGTTATCCGCTGTTCTATTTTTGGTGTATTTATTTTGAATTTCTAATATTATTTATTAATATGCCTAGCAGACATGTCATCCTTAAACAAGGTTATTTCCACTTATTGTGACTATATATCAGCTCATGGAATAATTTCCTTTGACATATACCTCACATTGTATATTTTAAATTATTGTTTTAGTACCAAAAGGGACTGTAATTCATGAAGAGAAGCCTTTTATACATGTTCTTCAATCAGATTTAAGAGCTATAAGATGTGATCATTGTTATTTGAAGTATATTCCATTTTATTATTTAATTTTTTTATTTATCAAATAAACCACTAATGATTTTATTCTGTTTATTGCTTGTCCAGAACTGAATTGCTAAGGTGCTCTGGTTGTGCTTATGTAAGATATTGTGATATTTCTTGTCAGAAAGCTGAATGGCCAGATCACAAGAAAGAGTGTTCTCGAATCAGAAACATTCCCCCCAGCTTGGAATTACCTAATGCAGCTCGCCTCCTTGCAAAAATAATTATTAAGCTTAAGGTTTGTGCCTTATTTTGTATATCTTATGAAACCATGCTTCCTGACTTCTAGTAAGATTTTATTAATATTTTTATTTTAGAGAGGTGGTGATGCTGAAAAGGGTATATATGGGAAACAGAGCTTTCGGATGTTCAAAGATCTTATGTCTCGTAGGAATCATTTGTCTTATTTTTAATTAATCATAGACTTAGTAATTTTATTTTTAATCTTATATGGAGCAATAATTATTATTTCATCCTAATTATATCCAGATTGGATTTTATGAAATATTACTAGAAGTTTGATTATCGAATATATATATATATATATATTATATTTAATAATCAAACTTGAATTTTATGAAATATTACGAGTAGTTTGATGATTATATATATATATATATATATAATATATGTTTAATATTTATATATATTTAATAATCAAACTTGAATTTTATGAAATATTACTAGAAGTTTGATGATTAAATATATATAAAATATATATTTAATATGTATATATATTTAATAATCAAACTTGAATTTTATGAAATATTACTAGAAGTTTGATGATTATATATATATATATATATATATAATATATATATATATATATATATATATATATATATATATATATATATATATATATATATATAATAATTACATATATATATACATATATATATATATATATATATATATATATGTATATATGTATATATATATGTAATTATTATATGTAATATATGTCTTTTTTCCCTCTAAGGATCTTCAGTCTTAATCAATATACTATATTTTGGTGGTGTTTTGAGGCTTAGAGCATGATCCCAATCAAATTACCTTCATGTGCTACTATTGGCCAAGAAGTATTTCCTTACATAGTTCTGAACTCTAGACCCTTCATGGGTTGTAGTGGTACAGGCTTTTTTTAGACTTGTTTTAATATTCATCTCTTAAAACAAATATTATCATTTATTTTTGCCTTCTTTTTTGACTGACCAACCCAACTATTCTTCTCTTCATAAATCTCTTATAATGAAATGAATGTATAATTATTATTATTTATTTATTTTTTTAACTTTGAACAATGAATGAAGTTGGACAAAAATTTTGAGCAATGACCTCTTAAAACCACCAAACATTATTTGTATATTTATGAGGAATTAGCTTCAAGATTCTTTGAAAATTTGTTATTTAACTGTCAAGGACAACAATATATATTTAAGTATGTTTTCTAATTATTTCTGTTTATCTCTCTTTTGCTACGTAATCTATATAAAATCTTTTATTAGTTATCTTTACTTGTGATAAAGTTAATATTTATTAAATTTTTTTATAGAGACTATTTCTATAATGGCATTGTTTATTTACAATTTTCATTCGTTTTTATAATTTTGAAATTTAGTTCCTGCATTTCTTACAATATCGTCCAAATCCTAGGCTTTTTTTTTTTTTTTTATTCGATAATACTCCAGATGAGTGAATAGTTCAAGCCCTAGGAGGCCCTTTATCGTTGAGATAACTGGTCCTCTGTATATTTATATCTGGAGGAAGGTTGACCAGGCTATACCCCTAACCATGTGTAATTTCATGAAAGGTGGTCCTGGGATGAATACTGTATGTGACCTTATTGTCAGTATTAAGTGACCCAATTATCAATATTAATACTGCAGTTGCCCAATGGATCAAATCCGGAGAATGATGAATATACAAATTATTAATTTTCTAAATTTCAGCTCATTAAGCTTTTTGTGATCAGTTCAAGAAAAATCAGGGCCGTTAAAGGTTGTCTTTTTTTTATCTACAGAATTATTTATGTTTACTGCAGATTTACATTTTTGGTCAGTGGGCCAACAAAGGTTCTTAACTTTCCTAATTTTTCTTTGAATAGTTTCTTATCAAACAGTTTTCGTTTATTTAACTTGTTTTCTAACCCATTAGTTGGTATTTTTCCTTTTTAAAATTATTTTTTTACAAAAGGGAGTAAGGTAGCTCTGTGAATAAGGTATCCAGCTTCTATGAAGTGGATACTCTTTATTAATTAATAGGAAAAGTGTGGCATTCGTTCATGATCTTGAACAGATCGCCTCCTTGCACAATGGTTCACCAAGAAACAGTACTTCCTTACAGATTGCTATACCCCAGACTCTCCATAGTTTGTAGTTTTATTTAATTTTTTTATTTACTAAAATGTATGATTCATTGTTAACATTTATAGATGTTCCAATAAACTAGTTATAATTACCTTTTGTATTATATTGTATTTCTCTATGGTATTTATTAAATTTTTGTTGATAGTACTTAAATTTATTATAAATTTTATAGATTATCCTGATATTAAATCAGATTCAAAACGCGTTGAACATGCCACTTCTCTTTATGGTGTCTTGATAGATTTTTTAGGAAAAGATAATCTACCCAATTTTCCCGAGTTCTTGGGAATTTATGGCCGAGTAAGTATCATCACATTAATTTGTTTTTATTTTTATTTATTATCAAGTTATACATTTCTCTGTTGTGGTTTTCAGTTGATACTCTTTTCCATATTGACCAGTGTTTAAGGAGTTGGTACCAAATACTCTTCCAGCATAATTTAGTGCATGATACTGTGCTTCAAATTTGATTGTATTTGCAAGTTCTAATTTTAAATCACTTAATGTAAACGAAAGCTTTGAGTTTCTTAACATTCATATGGTTTAGTTTTTTACTATAGAAATAATTATTGGAAATATGAAAATATATTTTTAACTTCTCCTCTCTCTCTTAGCATACTATACCACATAAAAATGTTTGTAAACATATAATTTCAGTGGCATTTTCATGAAATCTCCACCTATTGCAAAACTCTTATCATAACAAAACTGATGAAAGTTAATATGGAATGTTTATTTGATGCTTGAATTAAATGCATACGATTTTAATTTTAAATTTTAAATGAATGTGCTTTTAACTTTTAACTTATTGTTCAAATTAGATGATTGTGAATGGATTTAGTATCCTCGATGGTGAGATGACTACTTTAGGAACTGGTATTTATCTTGGTGCCTCGACGATTGATCATTCTTGCACTCCCAATTCTGTTGCTGTATTTTCTGGAACAACTTTATCAATCAGAACAATTGAAGATATATCTGAATATGATTGGTCAAAGGTTTGTTGTAATGTTTTTCTTTTCTTTTTGTAATAGGAAATTGAATGAATTTTTTTACCAGTAATAGTAGTTATTCATTTGTTGGGGCCAGATTTGCTTGCATATGTATTTATATTTTTCTCTGTTTTTCTACTACTATTTTTTTTTACATTTAAAAACATTAATTATTGAAGAAATATCTCTGTGAGCTCCAATCCTTTTTTATATATTGTATCCAATGTTTAAAAAAAATGATGACACTAAATTAAAAATCTGGTGCGGTGCACGCATCACACAACTTTCGCTTACCAACCTTAGAGCCGATAGATATTTTCATATTTAGGGAAGAGAAAGTGAAAATGATGCTATAATTTCATTTAAAACAATTAATTACAATGTTTTTTCTGCCAGTTTAATCTGTTAAATTTATAAATTTTATAAATAAATATCTGATGAAAAGGTCATCAGAGGTAGAAAGGTTATACGGACTTAAAATTCTGTTTTATGGAATAAAGACATCATGCTCCTAACGAAAAAGAGACTATACCATTCTTTTGTTGTAAGTATTGTATTATATACCTCAGAAACATATAATTGGATGATTTCAAACGACTCAGCAAGAAAATTGTTATCAATGGAGATGGATTTTTGGAGACATAGTTGTTGAATATCAAGACTACAACATATTCCAAATAATGTTATTAGGGATAAAGTGAACGAACCCCTCAACATTCTTTACTCCATTGAGAAGAAAAAGCTGAGTTGGTTTGGACATGTAATGAGAAAGTCGAATGACCAATGCCCTAAAAGAATACTTTAGCATGTACCATTGGAAAGGAGGAAGAGAGGACATCCAGAACATAGTTGGTTGGAAGTTTTACATGAGGTTATTGCAGCAAGGGAACTCCTGGATGAAGACTGTTATGATAAAAAGAAATGATGACAGGGATTAGGTTATGACATAAGACCTTAAAATGTAAAGTTGTAAATAAAGTAGCTTTATATGTAAACATATATAAAATTTATAAAAAGAAAATAACGGGATCGAAACGTCAATAAACATAGAAGAAATGAACATTCAATAGTTTATTAAATAATTAATAAGTGACCTTATTCCGAATTAAATAGTTAAGTTTAAATATATATATATATATATATATATATATATATATATATTATAACTTAAGATATGAATTATAGTCTGATAATAGGTCATGATGATCATGACCTAATATAATTCATATCTTAAGTTATATATATATATATATATATATATATATATATATATATATATATATATATATATATATATATATAACTGGCCTGATCGAAGCTCTATTTTTTAAAAGTAGGTTAAACATTGTTAGGTAATTGTTATTAAAGACATATGGAAGCATTATTGTGTACCGATTGAGCTATTTGTAGTTCTAGCTTTGAAGAGCATCCCATCGTTGACATATAAAAAGAAAGTACCGGGATCGAAACCTCAATAAACATAGAAGAAATGAACATTCAATAGTTTATTAAATAATTAATAAGTGACCTTATTCCCAATTAAATAGTTAAGTTTAAATATATAAATATATATATATATATATATATATATATATATATATATATATATATTATATATATATATATATATATTTTTTTTTTTTTTTTTTTTTTTTTTTTCCCTACGTGGTAACCCCACACAAGGATCGTTTATTTGATTTTCCTTCATGCTCCATGCCTTAAAGACATACTACATGAATTACATTTGTTTACAATTGTTTTTTTTTTTCTAGTTTTACATGATATACATTTTTAGTTCAAATTTATATACATTAACAAACAAAAATACAAAGAATAAACACACAAAAATTAAATCGGAAAATTAAATATTGAACACACAAAGTTAATCCAACAAAGCCAACAATATATATATATATATATATATAATGTGGATTAATATTTTTAGATCAGAGGACCATAGATTTCTGAACACGTTATGCCTTTGAACAAAACCAAGTAACTAATATTGTTTTATTATTCATTTATAATATTTATTTTATTTCAGGTAAGGATATCATATGTTGATGGACTTAGCAAAAGAGAAGAAAGGCAGGCTGAATTATGGTCAACATATTATTTCATTTGCGATTGTAAACGGTGTTCAGAGGAAGAAAATATTGAAACTGTAGCTGTTTGTCAAGCATGTAATAGTGTTGTTTATTCAAATCAGGTTTGTCTATTTCTTGTATTTGAATATATTTAAATTAACTCTTATTATGCATACATAACTTATATAAAAAAAAGTTATAAAGTCATCAGGGCATTGGTTTTTAAATTATAAATAATCCTTCTAAATGTTAAACTCATATTCCACTCTTGGACAATACCCTACCTATTTCAAAAGGTTGATCTAAGTTAGTATTTAAATCAAAGGTAAAACATTAATTATAACAAATTTACCGTTGTGGAATGTAAGATAACAGTTCAAGCAAAAGCATGAAAAAAATAAATAATTATTTGAAGATCTAAAGGAAATGGATTTGAAATGAAGTTCAAATTTCCAGATCCGCAAGGAAAGGGTTTTACTATGCCAACAGCTATTGTGTTGTTTGATTGACATTAATATCCGAAAATCATACTTACACATCACTCTGCCTATGTTTGGCTTAATGTGGTTCAATTCACTTTCATCATCTCTCTATTATACAATGAACTCTTTACTGACTGCCGTGGAATATTTTATTTTACTTATACAAAGTGGGACTGACCGTAACGAACACACCTTGCTTCTTATTCGGAGGACGGGATGGCCGAGCAAGTAGGGGCGTGGGTTCCAGAGTGCCCGGTTCTGAACGTTGTGGGTTCGATTCCCACCTGGGTCAGTTACTTTTCATTTCTTGGCGGCCCCGGGAAATGAATCGTGACATTCCCGCTCTGGCAAGTACGCGGTGGCAACCTTAAAGGTAGCCATCAGGTGTTGGCAAAAAGGACCACTATAGTACCCAATATCAGTACTTCTTATTCCCAGAATTATTTCTCCTTTATCATGGTTACAAATTGGCAATCAGAATAATTATAATTATGAAGGAAGGAGATGGTCCGGGGTTGCGGTCATAAATAGGCTAAATAGTGGTAAAACTATTTTATTGAAAGCCGACGTTTCGACCCGACTTTGCAGGTCTTCATCAGGGAGGTGTGTTCATCTAGGAGTTTCACTTAGAACTGGGGGAGCAGTTCTTTACAGAATACATGTAAATTAGAGTTATACAGTTAGAGCAACGAGTTGTACAATTAACTGAGCAGTTGTATAATTTGTAAAATGGAGGTTGGTCTGCGATTTTGTCAGGCGGATAGGGAGTACCCTCCTGATATATTTTAAAAGCATTATGTTTGATTTTTTAATTTTACAGATGGTTTGTAGTAAATGTAATTGGAAAGCACCTGATGCTTTTATTGAAAAATATAAAGAGGCCATCGAATTTTGTAATTTACAGCACCAAGAGATGAAAAATGTAGCATGTATCCTTTTTAAATTACATTTAAAAAAATAATAATAATAACAATGTTGTAATAAAAACTTACACCATTGATTAGTATCTTTTATCATGTTATCTTGAATACTTCTTTGTCTCATACAATTCTGTTTAGTTTTGCTACTAATATCTTTGCTATTACCTCTATTAATACCCCTGCTTTGGTTTTTATTCTATTCTATTTATAACATTTCAAACCTTTTTGTAATATTTGATTTATTTTAACCTTTAGCTTATTGCGGGGGGAAGAGAGTTTTGAAATATGCCTAAAGCTTATTAATAACAATCCACAAGGTTTGCTGTAAGCCAGTTGATGTATAGCTCATTGAAAGAAGCCTAATTTACAATTCTGTAGTATTTTCCAGAAAGGTTGCTAATACTTCCTATCAGTTGTTTGTTTTTACTCACTCTCTCAAATGAGTGCTTTCTTCTATTCCCTCTTTTCTCTGCCCCTATTATTTCTACAGGCAGTGTTCTTTGCATTGGTTACTTCTGATCAAATGCCAGTTGCTGGGATATGTAGAAAGTGAAAGAAAAAATATTTTTATTATGGTATAGAGATGGTCGAGCGTGATATAATGACCAACTCCTCATATTATTGTTATTCACAATAACTAACATTTAAAAAAAAAATTCTTCTAATACTCTACAAGATTTTTTATCCATTGTTTAAAGAAACTTTTCTAAAGTTAGTTTTTCATCCGTTAGCTGTATGCATTACGAGCTGATGTTTCATGTATTCTATATTCTCTGATAAAACGTTAAACCATCATAAATGAAACTGCTGTGCTGACAATGGCTCAGTGGTACTCAGTATGTATTCTCATTCCTGTCTTGTACCAACGGCCTATTGTAAGAACAAAATTCCTTCAGCTAGTGGTTTGCTTAGGTGTTTTCTTATTAAAAACCAAGATTACCACCATTTTTAAAAATAATTGTTTTTTGGTCAAACTTCTATACAGTAAACTTTAGAACTAAAATGATATAAGTAATGTTGCTGTTACATTTATTTGTTTGATTTCTATTTTATATAATTTTTCATCAAAGAGATATTAAAAGTATTTCAGCTCATTTTATTTTTGTCAGTATGAGAAAATATCTTTATTTCCTATGTTTCATTAAAAATGTAAGCTTACATGCATTTGTCATGGAAAATTATGGTGAGAACATAACGATTGCATTTTGGGAAAATATTTATTTAATGTATAGTATTGATTGATATCCTATGAATATTGTATACATTTATAAAATGTGTAAAATTGAATTAGAAGTATAATAATCTTACTAATCTAAGAGTTTAAGTCAATCAATTATGATGAAGGAATGACTTAAGCTTAAATGATCTGTGGGTTTGAGTATATTAGGCAAGCTTTTTATTTTTCTCCTTAGTTTTCTGTTGTCTGTCCCACTACATATTACTTTTAATATGAATTTATCAACAACAAATATTTTACAAATAAAGAAATGTAAGATATAATTTCACAGGTACATGCAGCTCGAATGCTATTTTCTTAAAATTGCTTTAGATCTAGATGCTTGTAAGTTGTGTCTGAAAAAAGAGGAAGGAGTGATACATCCTGATAGTTTGGTCCATGCTAAAACATTAGATCTTGCATTTGAAGCTGCAATACAACTTAATTCTTGGGAACTAGCTATGAAACTTGGATATGAACTGATTCCAGCCTATAGGTATCTTTTTTTTTTATTTTCAATTTCTAATATTGCAATTATATTTAAAACTAATAAAGTTTCATGGGAGCTCTGTTCAATATACATCATAGAATACATCATGTGTGTATGGTTAGCATGTACTATTGTATATATTATATGAAAAAAAAAGAACATTTGCTCATCTCAGCTTTATATAATTACTACTTGTCTACATCTTATTATTATTTTTTTTTCATCCTCCCCTTCCTCACCTTTTTAGGCTGTACGAAGTTTTCGCGGCCCAGGGGGTGAGAGCAGGAGATTAATGCCACAGTTAAAATCCTCCCATGGCACCAGGACGCGAACTGGTGATTATTTTAATTAATTATCAGATTGCTGGTCAACCTGCTTGGCTACTCCGCCCACTAGTCAACATCTTAATGGCCAATTTTTTTCCTGGATTTTGAACTGAAGTCACTAAAAAAAGGTTTTTATATAGTACAATGATCGAATCCTCTGAAGGTGCACAAGGAATGTTTAATAACATTGCTTCAGTTGATCGTCTCTCCTCAGCAGAAGTAGTGATTAAATTCTAAGTTACTGAGATAGGTGTTTGAATTAATTACTTGGTACTCAGACTAGTATTTGTAAATACCAGAAGATGAACCCAGTATTTGAGAGGTGGTAACCATTTGTTAACAGGATCATAACAAAAAGCTTAATGGAGTCTAGACAGTATAAGAGATTGAATATCTGGATAAAGTTCTTCCAAGAGGTATACAAGGACATGTGAGGAAGGTCATACAATAGACATGAATAAACTGAAAATTTCTAGCCCTCCTTAATTGTTTAGAAAAGTAGTTCTAGCGTTATTTCCAAGAAACTTGGAAGTGTTGTTTTGCAAAATTCAACTGCTGGATTAGGAACAATCTTGATTGTACCATTACAATGACTGTTTTTAGTGATTTTTTAAAATATCTTTTGTATATAATATTACAATAATAAGTAATCTTAATTGATTTTTTTTTAATCTCTAAGTTTTAGTGTTGCAACCATTTTAGGAAGTTTTATGGAGAATGGCATCCTCTGTCAGGACTTCATCTCATGAAGTTAGGGAAAATACTTCTTTATCTTGGAAATGCAAACTACCTTGAAATTCTTGAACAAGCTGAAAAAATCATGCGTGTCATCTATGGTACTCGGCATCAGGCTTATAGGCATATGCTAGAACCTCTTCTTTTACAAGCCCGAGGTCTTTCGGGGCGTATTGCTGGTTAGGCCAGAAATTGTGAACAATCGGATACTTCAATTATCAGGTAATTTTATGATGTACTCAATTTAAATATTTCATTAATATAATGTTAAAATGTAATATATAGTGTTTTTTGTTTATGGCAGGGTAAAAAGTTGAAGCGAAAGGCGTAAGGATGTGTCATCAAGCCTGGTAGAAGAAATAATTTGTAAGATCTATAATTGGTCATATTTTAGAGGCTATTGCTATTGCGTCATACACATACTAAAGCAGTCATGGTGGATGATCGGCATAGGATGTTGCCTAGTCACAATTTTGTGAAACTTGTTATTCCTTTGTATTTTTATTCAAACGTTTATTTATAAACATTGAAAAGTCTCATCTTCATTACCTTTATACTAATTTAAAGTTTTTAATTAGATAAATGATGTGTCTATCTCCTGGCTATCCTTATGCCGAGTTGTACAGTACTGTATTGAAGTTTCATTACTTAATTGTTATGAATTAAATATATTTCCAGAGGATATCACAGAATTAGTACCAAGAGAAAAGTTTTGATTTTCTTCCAAGTGCATTGAATATTATTGTAATAACCTCATTAGACTATGCCTAGTCTGAACATTTATCCCAAACACTTTTGGTGTTAGTGATTAATTAAAATTGGAATTAGCGATGAATTATAGTTTGGTCCAGCATCTGTAAAGTTGATTTAAAAAAATTAAAATGCTTTATTTTATTTTTGATAAAACAGCATAAGTGTTGGGGATTAAGTGTCAAGAATCATTGTAATCTGAGAATCATGATGATTATTAATTTTTTAGTATCCATCAAAATGAAAGATTTTTTGAAAAATTTATGCCAAATTAGAGGAAATATTTTTTTTTTTTTGTGTCTCTTGGGGAACTCTGGAACAAGAGTTAGATTAAGCAAGTAATGGACTAACTGGCTCTAATCTCCTAAAATATCTTAAAAGCTCTTATCTCTTAAAATCATTTAGAAAATTACGAAAGTTTCATTAAAGTTACATATAATGATTGAATGGTTTATTATTATTATTATTATTTTTAGGGTTCCACAATATTTACGCTCATGATCCTCACTTGTCCTAATCTCCATTCCTACCTTTTTACATATATTTATATGTTATTTCTCCAGATTCTGTGCTGAAATTTCATGGAATATCTTCAGTCAAACACATGCAACCTCCTGGATTTTGGCCCTGCAATCTTGTATTGTCTTTTTAAAAAACACTACTACTTATTTTTAAGTACTAAATCTAAGATCCCTGTACTGCATTTATTTTTTAATATTTATAATTTACAGATGATTTTATAAAGAAATATTCTATGGTTTTATATATCATTACAAACATAAGGTGATATAAAAAATTTTAAAAAAATTGCTTCACAAATCAGTTTACTGAAAAGTAATGTTGGTCCATTTGTCTTTAAAACAGAAGTGTGCTACATTGGAAGTCTGTTATACATACTGTATATTCAATATTATTCTGGGTGTACTGATAGCAATGGATAGTCTAGTTAAAACGTCATCTTATCTATAACGTTATCTAGACTTCTAGTCTATTATATAATTTTTTTGGAGGCAATACTGTATGCGTCTATACATGTTGCGATAATAGCCCATGGGATGACAGGCTTATATACACACCAATAACGACAGTATTGGCTTTCTTTCAGCTGCTACTGGTAGCCAGTGTGGGCTGTTACATGAAATATTGTCAGAGGATATGTGAGAGCGTAGGGTTGTTTATGAATAGTATTTATTATTTTTCATTAAAATTGAAAACAGTATTTAAGTCCTGGAGATATGGAAAAACATTTTGGATTGTCAAAGAAATTAATTCAATAAAACAATAAATAAAAGAGAAAAACTCCTCACATATTAATTATAAATTTAAATTTGTAAACATTTATACAACCGTTCCAATAATAGTAATTGTTACTTCAACACCTTTGAAATATTTAATCATGTATGAGTTTCATTAATGTTGAGTGTGTTACTATCACTGATTGATATTTCATAAATTAATATTCTTAATATATTAATTCCAAGTGCTAAGTACAACTATTACAGGCCCCTTGAAGTCTACTTCATGGTAGACTTGTATTATATGCTGAACCGTATGTTGATTCGACTTCTCTAAATCTTCCTTTTAATTTAAGTGAATTGCAAGTTGTGATTAGTAATTTAAAGAATAACAAGGTGGCGGGCATTGATAGAATATCATATGAGTTTTACCGACATGCACACATATTTTTGGGTAAGATTCTTTCTCTTTATAATCAAATTTATGAGACTGGCGAAGCTCTGCCTTCCTTTGGCAAATCTTATATTATTTCCTCTTTTTAAACGTGGCGACATCAATAATGTTCATAATTATAGGGGTGTATCATGTTTGAATGCTACTGCAAACATTTTTACTGGTCTTCTTTTGCAATGTTTGGAAACTTTTGTAGCGGAGAATGAACTTCTCAGTCAATACAAAACAGGTTCTAGATATTGGAACTCAACAATTGACAATTTATTTGTTTTTGTATATATTATAAAAATTAAATTCCTTAAAAAAGGACAAAAAAAATCTTTGCATTTTTTGTAGATTTCAAAGCAGCATTTGACAGTATCTCTAGAAAGTCTGTGATTTTGAAATTGTACAATTTGGTAAATTGTACAAGTCTCAACTAAATTCATTGATATTCCAAAACAATATTTATTTACAATCAGAATCGGCGGCTCGTGCTGCAGAGGGAATTTCCGAGTTTTTTTCCCTGTGAATAATGTACATCAGGGATGTTTACTCAGTCCACTCCTCTTTTCTTTGTATTTAGATGATCTTCCTTTTACCCTTGAAGGAGGAATTCGTTTAGGCGGTACCCCTATTAGCATTTTAATGTATGCTGATGACATTGTGCTGCTGGCTGAAGAAGATAGGGTTGTACTGCAAAGAAATATACACCTTTTGGCAGCCTATTGTGATGATTGGATTTTGACACTAAATCTTTCTAAACTAAAAATTGTGGTTTTTAGGAAAGGTGGAAGACTGGCTGATGCAGATAAATGGCGATTTAAGGGTTTACCAATAGAAGTAGTCAATACTTGGGTATTTGGGTGTCAGGCCAAGCTTCAGTCTTTCATTTACTTACCATTTGAGAGATCGTATATCGGCTGCTAAATGGGTCTCAATATGAATTGATCAAAATTCATTGCTCAAGATCTGATCCCACTATCCGCCAAAAAACAAATATTTGATGCGATATTGGCTCCATAGTATGCAGCTCAAGTCTGGAGTTTTCAGGGATATGACAGTGGAAAAGTTTCAGAGGTTCTTCATTAAGATATTGTTTTCGTTGCCTCCAACGGCACCAAATAATATGATTTATTTAGAAACAGCCACAAATCCACTCGAGGTATTCACTTTACTGTTGCATTTTAAGTATTGTCTTAAGTTACTGTGCCTGCCTGAAAGTCGTCTCTCCAGAGTTATCGCCATTGAAGTGATCAAAGGTAATATCATTTAGTTTAAAAATTGGCGGAATGATACTCTTTCAGGTTTGACAGGTCTTTAGAATGCTTTTCGTTATGGAAAGACCAGTTGGCAACAATACGGTCTGCAATCACTCAGCAACATTGGGAGCAGTGTAAATTAGCGGCATTGAATTCTGATCGATTTCTATTGTATAGGGAATTGAGTCATGATATTAAAATTTTGAGATTCGTGGATGGCTGCTATTGGTATTTGATTGGGCCCGAGTTGATATGGTTGTTAAAGATGGGTTATATACTGTATTGTCCACTCTGTAAACTACCAGTAAAGGAGGATCTGTTCCATTTTTTGGCTGAAGGTTCATTCAATACTTAGTCAAATTCGTGTTGAATTGTTTGGAACTAGCTCGGTTCGAAATGATATCCTAATTTCCTTTCTAAATGCCCACTCTGTGAACGAATTTCGTAAAATTGTCGGTTTTGCTTGACATGCGTGGATACACCGTTTTAATTTGCTACATGCAGCATAAACAATGATCCATCTGATTTATTTGTGGTCAGTTTTATTCATGTTATTGTTTATGATTTTCCTTATTTTACTTTATTATTATTTCTTAGACATAAATTATTCAAAATATTTATTATTTTATATTGTATTAGTTGTTTTGTAATTTATCAGTCATTCATGTATATGTAATTGTTATAAAGTCTTTATTTGTACTGTACCTGTAAAACATATAAATGTTCTGTGTATTTTGGAAATTTGTAATTTATGCATATTTAACAAAGAATTTCTCATTCAAACTAGTTAAGGAACAACAAATTTTGACCAAGATATGATATAACCAGTTCCGATATACGGCTACGAAATCTGGTCACTAACGAGAATCCTACAAAGAAGCATTGAAAAATTTGATAAGAATATCTTCTGCACGATAACCGGAGCTATCTGCGATCTGAATTGAGGAGGACCAATAAAAAAACTGCTTACAGAAACTGGCCAATCAATCTCTCGCAATATAAAGGCAAAGAGGATAAAATAGATGTGACATGTAGTTAGGAGCAATCCGACAGGAGACCTCTGTTCAACAATGAATACCTACATCAATATTTCGGATGGTTGGGAGATATTACGTGGGAGGCCAAAAACCAAATGGATAGATCAAATCAACTAAGACGCGGTAGAGCCTTATCCAAATAACTGTAAAGAAATGACCCAAGATAGGAAGCCATGGATAAGACAGTAAAAGATCTGTAAAGGTAAAAAAAAATAATGCAATAACATAGTGTATAATGTTAAAATACACATAAATATGAATCGATATAGTATAATATTCGGAGTATATTTAATTATATAATATATAGTATATTTACAGAACTGATTTCCTAAAGGACGTTAAAGATGTATGCTACTTTTTAAGTTAAACAATTCAAACCGTTAATAAAAACAATTCTCCTCAGTCATTATGGCTTTCATGTACTCTAAGTTCACCATTCTGTTAATTGTTAAAAATCAATTATACTATTTATTTCTATAATAAATAAATTTAAATAATCAAACTAGCATTTGGTTAAAATATAAACTAAGTAAATTTTACACAAATAATTTTTATTTTCAGAAATCAGCTATTCAACGACTTACTAAGGATGTAATGTAGTTTACAGTGGAAGACAATAAAACACATATACAACATTTAGAGCAGTATTGAATGATATTGAACCCTGTCGAACCGCCGTAATCTTTGATAATGACGAGACCAAGAACAATCATAAAAACTACTATGATAGCTCTCATAAATATGGATCTCTGATCCTTACCCTTTCTAGGATTTTCAGTTTGGGTCTGTGATTCTGATTTTTGTGTCAACATTTTGTGCAACAGTTCTTTTTCCCTATCATTATTGAATATCTTTCTGGATTTGATAAAATCGTCGCCATTTTCCAATTTCAGACTTGGAAGACCATCTGGCGGCCTATCTGTACATTTGATGGCTTCTTGATCTGTGTTGTTAAAATTGTCCGTAAGAGCAGTTATTTTGTGCTCCAAGGAAATTTCCGAGTCAGACCATTCTAAGAGACCTAAATCTGCAGTCTCTTCCGATGTTGAATTGCTATCATACAGTTTGATTTCATTGGACTGCATTGGTTCTGATGTTTCATTGCTATCTTCGAAGAGTTCTTCACTTGACGATGAAATATTTTCCTCAGCATATTGAAAACCACAGTAGTCTGCATTAGGAACTTCTTTACCAACTTCAATGTTCATTTTTTAATTTGGATTCTTTTGTAATCTTGACATGAATTTGGATATTGTAGTTTGGATAAGTGCAATGATTCATGTGCTGAATATAGGTTACCATAACAACGTGATAAGAATATGCTGTTTAAAAAAATTACTTTTGGAAGATTGCGATTTTTCGGGTCTTAAGAATATTAAGTGGTAGATTACTTAACATACACTTTTAAGAACTAAGCATGCTTTCAATTTAATTTTGTTTTGTTTCTCACATATATATGTTAGGGTTATAATCAATCCATTAGTTTAGTGTTTAATTCTTTCATTTCATCTGTAAACCTGTTTTAATAATGCTCTACCAGTGCCCCTCTAATCTATTCAAGTGCTGTTGTGGATTCTTATTTTATTGTTTTTAAAACTACTATGAAGATATTCTATTTTCAAAGGTTATGAAATGAATCTAAGAAAAGTGCTTCAAAAGGCAATTAATTGGTTGTAAAACTTTAT